AGCTAACTCTATGTTCGCACTTATTAGGAGAACATTTCAGTTTATGGACACAAAGTCTTTTATTCCTTTATATAAATGTCTTGTTCGTTCACAACTGGACTATGCTAGTCCAGTGTGGGCACCACATCTTCAAAAATATATCGACAAGATCGAGGCAGTCCAGCGAAGAGCGACAAAGTGCCTTCCGGGGATGAGAGACCTCACCTACAGTCAGAGACTTGAGAAACTTAAACTACCAACGTTGGCCTTCAGGAGATGTAGGGGAGATATGATAGAACTGTACAAAATTATAAACGAAATATATGATACAGAATGTTGTAATGCAATCACACTTTGGAAAGATGCCGCTGATCGTCACAGTAACAGAGGACATAGCAAAAAAGTATACCCTAAGCGTGCAACAATGATGCTTAGGAAAAACTTTTTTTCAATAAGAACAGTGACAATATGGAACGATCTGCCTGAAAATGTTGTCTCCGCACCAAATGTAAATGTATTTAAAAACAGGCTAGATACCCACTGGAAACATCAAGAACTTTTCTTTAACTACAAATCATTAATCAAACCATAGACATTAACATGTACCGAATAGAAATATATCTATATATGTATTGTGTAATATAAGAGTCTGGTATAGAGGACTTTCACTAGTCCTGAACCGGAAATAAACTTAACTTAAACGTTAGCATTTCATGAAATTACCACTTGTTTTTTTATGCAAATACTGCATTTTGTACCAAACTGCACCTAAAATATCAAAAAACGAACAACAAAAGAGCAAGATCAAATATGAATAGTATTTGTTTGTCAAAATCAGATCTATATTTGTGATCACCATGACATGCGAATTCAAACGGACATGTATCCTTAATGTAAAATATACTCTCTAACCAACTAGTGATTTATCTAAAAATAATCACTGTTTGTAAATAATTTGATAATGAATTCACAATACGTACTTACTATACATAATTTGTATATCATGAAAGGAAAATATATTTGCTTTGCTTCGATTTTCCATCAATAGGGAAATTAAACGAATGACGAAACGAGCTGCGTGTATTTCATTGGGAAGGTCAGAGTTCGAGATTACATGGAGAAATCTAGCAGACCGATCACACACGTGTTCTGACACCTACATCGACAATGGCTGGGATATCTGGTACCGAAGATACAGATAAAAAGGATGACATTGCACAGAAATGTACAAGGGAAAAATTGGAGCGTCCTGCAGATGACACTCCTCATATGAACGGAGCAGGTAAGAAATTTGTATTACTTGTCCGTTTGACGGCGAAACCTCGTGGTTTATCGTGTGTATTTGTTGGGAGGAACTAAATGAAATGTTGACATTCATTGACATTTCCAATGACAATAGAGAATATCATGAAAGAAACGATATTCTTTATGAATTGGCGTTTTATTGTTGTATGTTTCATGAATATATGCTTCTGTGTTTTGATAAAAACATCGCAAACGCACGACTCGATTTATGCAACAAACGCAAGTGACGAAATCAAAGTTACGAAACATTGGTTGAGAAGGCATACACTCATGCGTAATGGTCAATACATTTTACTGCTTAATCCATATCATTAAAGTACTCTCGTTACATTGCAAAACTAATGTTAACATTTTAATTGCACAAATATTGTTGCTGCCACCGGTTAACATTTCAAGGTCGAAAGGGTCGTATCTGGATCCCCGTCGTGAGCCTTGTGTTTTAAACAGCTGATTAGGGACCAACACATGGTTCCGGTTTAGGGTTTCTGTGTCCCGCTTTTACGGAGAGTAATTAGAATTGCAGACTTCAGTTCACAGTAGAAATGTTTTATTTGTTTAGGACATACATATAAGTTAAATAAGCTGAGTGTATGCAAAGAGGCCTAAAAGGGGGTAATTATATCAATCATAATTTACGACTTACTCATAAACTGGGGACCACATAAACTGGTCTTACTGCACTTGTCCAGAATTATGTCAGCACTGCAGTTCTTCATCAAGACATATTTGGGGGCTATGATAATGCATGTTAAAATTTCGAAGCGAAAGCTCAAATATGACATTTGATATAATATGGCAGATTGACAAGCTGTCAAAAAAGAAAATAAAGAGATAGTGAAAATGTGCAATTCATGTGACATTCTTGTAGTCAAAGATGTTGGTAGGTTATTACAGTGTTTTAGCAATAAGCAAGGAGCCATGTTCTCTGGGGTTGTTTTTGTGTCATGAATTTCAAGCTGCAATAATAAAAAAAAAATACCAAAATTTCCTGCTGCCTTTAGTACAGTCCAGTCCACTAAACAATCATTTCTCTAGTCTTGCATGATATAATGTGGGGGAGGCGCACAGCGTCTTTACTGGACAATTTGATCCTTTTAAGTGCATGGGTATTAATCTCCAAATCATAGATTGCAGACACAGGTCTTATGTGTTTGGAATTTTTCTGGGTGAACTACTGGAGAGAGAAAAAAATCGGTTCACTAAGTTGAATTGGATATAACTATCAACTTGTTATCTGTGAACACATTTGGCTTGGTGTGTGTTGATAAAATCTGATTTGCACCTTGTTTAATCTTTTATAGTTTTAAAGGTGTAATGGTTTCGTAGATAATTTCTTCACAAAATACCACTATTTTCCATTGGGAAGGGGGCTCGATTTAGGCTTTTTAAAAAAAAGACCTTATTATTTTTTGCTTGTAACCTGCATGTGTGAAAGGCTGTCAATTTTGTTAATTAACTTTGGAAAACATTCCTGGTCATACATTCTGTTTTCGAATAAATTATCTGTTAACCCACAACCAAGATCATAAAAGCATTTGACAAACCATTAGGCATAGAATAGTCATATAAAGACTAAAGCTGTTTTTTCTATAGTTTGCTGGGATGAATAATAATAATAATAATTTGAGGTTTTTATATACTGCTTTATCACAACCTAGTGCGTAGGTCGTCTCAAAGCGGTTCACAAATTATTATTCGTGGTTATAGGGCCTTTGCAACCAGCCAATATCTTTTTCAACTCCCTGGGGAGCATACAGTCGGTGCTGCCATTTCGGCACTCACAGCTAGCATTCTACAATTCTAGCACTGCCCAACAACGTACTCATTTACAGCCGGGTAGACTGGAACAAGCAGAGTAAAGTATCTTGTTCAAAGATACAACACAGTGCCGTGACTCGAACCCGCAACCCTTCGGTCACGAGCCCAGTGTCCTACCACTAGACTACCGTGCCTCCTATGAATGGCTAATATAAGTTTGTATTTATATTTCTGTTGTCCCCTTTCAAGGTTAAGATGTCACTTCATATGTTCATGGTATATTGAAAATGATATGAAAATCTTAATTCCAAAAGCCCTGAATAACTAATTAATCATAATAACAAGGAAAATCTATCATTGAAATTTATATCTGGATGCTAATTAGAATAGAACCTTTACAACTTCTCATTTTATGAAGCATTGTTGAAAAGATGTTAATTTTGTTCAAATAAATAAGCATCTCTCATATTTCTACCATCTTCTTTTCATGTTTTCAAATGTGTGATTGAAGCCATTTGAGCATCTTGTTTTGTATAAAAACTTATTACCCTTGCTTTTGAAAATAATCCTTATATTGATTATCTGCTTTTGTTCTACCATATTAAACCATAGCAGCCTGCAAGCATCCTCTTAAGGTTTTAATACATATAGCTACTGTACTAGCATTTTTTCAGGGTTTGAAAAGTTCCAACTTGAGCCATTTCAGATTTAATAAAAATACTGAAATTACCGGTATGGGGGAAAAAGTATAGTGCTCCAAGCTTAATAGAAAAAAAATGGTTTCCACTGTATTTTGTCCTGTAAGGATGCTTTACAATAAAGCATTAAAAAATACTGGTTTACAGATTGATTCATTTTGGCTGATTTAAGAAGGTGATATTAAGTGTTGTAAGAGTAAGTTGAAATTTCATGATCGGTAATGGTTATCATTAACTTACCTATGATCAAATAATAATTCGTTTAAAGAAATTGATCATGAAAATTAAATTCTCCATGCTGTTTTTGCGAGTTCCTTACACAAATAAAACTAACCTATGATCAAATAATAATTCGTTTAAAGAAATTGACCATGAAAATTAAATTCTCCATGCTGTTTTTGAGAGTTCCTTACACAAATTAAGCTACCCTATGATCAAATAATAATTTGTTTAAAGAAATAGATCATGAAAATTTAATTGTCCATGCTGTTTTTGCGAGTTCCTTACACAAATAAAACTAACCTATGATCAAATAATAATTTGTTTACAGAAATAGATCATGAAAATTTAATTGTTCATGCTGTTTTTGCGAGTTCCTTACACAAATAAAACTAACCTATGATCAAATAATAATTTGTTTACAGAAATAGATCATGAAAATTTAATTCTCTTTGCTGTTTTTGCGAGTTCCTTACACAAATAAAAAAATCATGGAAGACTGACTGGCCTGTAAGCTGTTTAATCCGTTATATGTTTTGTCCTAATCCGCCATGAGGCTGCAGACTTGAAAATAAATGTTCAGTGCAATCAGTGATGATGCAAACATAACAGCTGGAAATACATATTGGAAGACTATGCTGCTTGAATTTTGTTAGTATTTAGCACCGAGTTAGACTTGAAATCTTAATCACTATACTGAAAGTTCCATAATATGTACACAAAATTGTTTTGACTATATAGGTTATGAATTCTGTAGTCATATAATCAGTTTATTGGCCTAGCTGACCAGTAGTTGGCTAAGTTGATCAATCAGAATACCGCTATGATGTTTCCAAAATAAATTACATGTAGTTCCTGTTATTCATTAAAATAAATGTATATAAGTTTAGTTTCCTGAATACGTAATTCATTAAATGGAAAAAAATTCAGGATTGCTAAAATTACCAGACAACGTTCTTCCTTTGTTTAAATCTAAATTGTTAAACTACTCCATTGATTGTTTTTAATGTGCAGTGTTCCATTTAAACTGACTTCGTTAAATCTAGGTGCTATGCATTCTTATTGGCCATTTTGATTGTTCCTACTGACACACAATTGAGGTTAGATCTTGTCAGCATGCCGGCGAGGATCATTGGAGATAACCACAGTGTTCATCAAACAGTTTAATTCTCTACGACTTGTTCAATGAAAATGTTAAGAAAACGGTTTGGGTAGTTTGTAAGAGTAACATGGACAATGAGGAGATTACTTGAGTGAGCTGGATCCTGTCACTGTGTCGACTTATCAGTGTCGTTGATCACCTGTGATCTTTGGGCTCAGTGAGGTAGATATAAAGGTCCCCCCTCCAGCTTGATCTCTGCTGTACTGTGCGACAACACTGTTTCTTTGTTTGTAACAAAAATTGAACATGTGCTTTAGCATTATATGTTTATTAACACATGTTGGTATGTCTGTTTTTTTACCAAAATTTTGTACCAGCCATTTTCTCCAAAGGCAATAAAATAAAATGTATTGTACTCTAGATCTTTATGCTCATGATCAGGTCGAGTGTTTCCTTGTGTGAAGTGGTACTTACTCCAGATTAACGAATTTACGTACTTGGTCATCATCTAGTGGATATCCTTTTTTGTAAAGTCACTTGAAAGATAAAATACTTGGAAAACAACATTAACAACCTGAAATTTATGTATCAAAATGATAAACTTAAATTGTTTAAATTCACCATCCAATGTCGATAGTGATATTTAATGAGGTACTAGTAATGCTAATTTTCTATACCTGTGCACACTTGCATAAACATGTTGATGCTCATATATACAATGAAACCCTCGGTATAATACCCCTTGTTATATTTGACATCTCATTTACTGCAAACAATTCCTGAAACTTCCTGTCTCACACTTCATGTATCCCTTCATAACACCAAAATTCTGCCGAAGAAATGTTGGCAATATACTGTATATGATTTTGATAAAAACCTGTTAAACTTTGACACAGCAAAACCAGAGATTAACACTGAAGACAATCAAAAGAATCTGTATTGAAGGTTCAGAAACTAGATCGTGTTGTATCTAGGGCAACCTTGAGGTGTATTGAGAGGGTAAGAAATTGGTATAGATAGTGTGACTTGAGTCACGTCCACACTGTTACCCATCCATGGCCGGTAAACATTCCAGGAGCTCATACCTTGATGGAACAACATTTGCTTGGAAATTTTAACACAATATTTTAATATAAAAAAAATTGATACTTGACAGTGATCAAACAGAAGAACAGGATATGATTTGTAAATAGCGTTACAATAATTTGTCCTTGTCTCACCTGTGTGCAAAGAACACTTATTAAACCAGAATTTCATTAAGCAGTTTGTTTATAGCTTCCTGCACATCCAAACTCGCCATACAAAAGATGTTTTTAGTATCTAGTATCAGTTAGCAGGATTCCTATCATAACCATCAACATTCATTACATTGAAAAATTGAACTGCCCGGTGTTGGTACCAACATCATAGCAAGTATATAATGCAAACCAAAATGTAAAGCAAAATTCCATGAAGAGTAAAGTTGATGGAACTTCTCAAAATTCCATAAAGAGTAAAGTTGATGGAACTTCTCAAAATTCCAGTTGCCATTCATATTATCTGTGAATGCCATGATAGCTTAAGAAATTTGAAAATAACAAACATAACTGACTGCACTGTTTTCCAGAAATTTCACACTTTCCAAATATTAATTTCCTGACAAAACGAACGCTACATGAATCCAGAGCTGAATTTAGTATCCTGACATAGGAACAGCTTAGCACTGTTACGTAAGTGGTTTCTGATGTTACCTAAATGTATCGTAAAGATAATGATGAAGTCATCAATCCGTCTATGGTGGATGTCATATAGCTCCTATGAAAGCCACTGGATTTGGCAGAGTCATTGAGTGAAATGCTCTTCACTGGTAACTATTCATCTGCTCCGATTCAATTTCAGACATGAGGTCCGAAGGACATTGAAATATTGAAAATGTTTTCAAACAAGTCCTGTCCAGTTGATATAACTGAGAAAATTCTGACATTCTTATTTCAATTGTATTAAAAAATTCAATTCAATTGTCAGAGTTAAAAAATAGATATAGATAATGATACTCTGATGTGTAATTTCACACTCAAGCTGCTCATTAGAGGGTGACTGGCATGCCTGGGGACATATCTGTTGATACGTCATTCATGCTAGACTGTGTACCACCAGTACACACTTCCGTCTACCAAACAATAACTGATATTACCATTGGCTCTTAGAAGGACGATGTATCTTGGTCTCACTACAATGGGATCCTGAGGAGAAGTTGGATGGTGACCTCACTTTAATTGTCCTTGAAGGCTATATATATATATATATATATACACACACACTCACATGTAGACTGTTAGACGGTATCACATTATGAATGGTATAAATATTAATAATAAAAATTGGTCATAAAAAAAGAAATAAAACTGGTTGTCCAAGTTTTTCTGTATGGAACATTTGTGTATCTGAATTGTTATATATGTAATGTGTTTCAGGGGACACTGTAGGGGGGCACCATATTTTCTGGAAAATTCCCTGAAGCACACGTGAAGGGTATTAATATCAACAAGAATTGGTCATTTAAAAAAAATAAATAAAGCTGGTTGTCAAAGTTCTGTTAGTAACATTTGTGTATTTGTATTGTTATATGTTACAGTGGACATGAACGGAGGTACAGACAGCCCGCAGAGTGAACTCTCCGATGACTCTCCCTCCACAGAAAACAGCAGTCAGGAGGAAGGGGAGAGAACTACAGATGAAGATGAAAAGAAAACAGAGGTTGACGGGAAAGGAGATGCAAAAACTGATGACCAAGAAGTAGTTCTTATCCAGGAGACAGGATTTGTAGTGAAACTGTCCATTCCTGGAGGAGAAGACTTTGATTTGCCAGTAAGTATTTTACTAAAACATTATCTGTTCATTATAATATACAATGAAAATGGAGTTATCTTGTGTGAAGGTTCATGGTCACTGATCCCGGTGTGGACATGTTTGCATTGGCATTAGTTCTGAATTGGAGAGAAATCTATATATCTTTGTATGAAAATATCCACATCATGGCACATGTGGATATTTTCATGCCAATTTTGATCCTCAACACAAAAAACACCAGCATTTCCACACCAGAAAAACCTCCCCTTTTTCAGTATATTCCATTAGATGCCCAAGGGTCCTTATACTTCTTGAAAGAAGACTGCTTTTTCAATAAACAAAAAAATAAGTAGACTTTTGAAAGAAAACACTGATAAGTACTAATGCACTGTCAGCCAGAGGGATTGATTTGTCTTTATAATATTTATTGCCCTTAAAAAAGCTAATCACCATGCTTGCTCCTTTGCTTCCTATTTAAGAATAAGTTGTTGATGCCTTTCTCATTAACTCATTCACCCCTACATATTTAAACTGGACTGGCGCAGTCTTAGATTTAGTAAGGTTCAAATGAATTTAGGGGTGAATGGGTTGACAAGCACTGCTAAAGCTGTGGAGAGCCTGGTGTGATTTCAGCTGGCCAAAGGATTTATCTGGTCATTTAACCTGACCTTAGCCCCACTTAAGCCAGGTAATCAGATTAGACTGCAGGCTACATGTTGTAGAATTAAAACAGATCGTACACCAGTAACAGTTGCCTTACGCATACACACAGGTGCCACCTTCATCCACGTACTGACCCTACTGCTCCAATAGGGCTAATGCAACTGTATTTTTAATTCTGGAAAAAATGAGAAAAAAAAATGTGAATGTGTAGATTAGTATTTCCTTGGTTTGATGTAATACATGTATACGATTATTTTGTTGTTTTAAAAATGCATTTGAGTTGCATAAGTCTAAACATTTTTTCTCTCATATGTTGTATATATATCTGGTTGTTGATTTTTGGTCAATTTCTGCCCCACATCCTGATGAAAATTGTGTTACATTACATATTTTGTCGCCAAATATCTCAAATTAAAAATCAGAATAGTAATGAAAATTGAAAAAAATAGTGTGATGTTTGATCCATATGATATTTAAGTAAAATAGGCTGTAGTAAAAATATCTGGACATTTAATGTTAGTTCAATGATATTTTGAAAATATCTGGTGGGGGGGGGGGGGGGGGGGGGGGGGATGGCCTAATTATACTACTCGTAAGTCCATTACAATAGTGGCGTGGGGATTATACTGGAAACAGCTTGTCCATATGTCTGCATAATCTATGACAGATGAGCTCTATGTTTACATTAACTGTTACAGGTGAGCTCTATGTTACATTGACTGTTACATGTGAGCTCTATGTTTATGTTGACTGTTACAGATGAGCTAGCTGTTTACATTGACTGTTACAGATGAGCTCTATGTTTACATTGACTGTTACAAGTGAGCTCTATGTATACATTGACTGTTACAAGTGAGCTCTATGTTAACATTGACTGTTACAAGTGAGCTCTATGTATACATTGACTGTTACAAGTGAGCTCTATGTTAACATTGACTTACAGGTGAGCTCTATGTTTACATTGACTGTTACAGGTGAGCTCTATGTTTACTTTGACTATTACAGGTGAGCTCTATGTTTACATTGACTGTTACAGGTGAGCTCTGTTTACATTGACTGTTACAAGTGAGCTCTATGTTTACATTGACTGTTACAAGTGAGCTCTATGTATACATTGACTGTTCCAGGTGAGCTCTATGTTTACATTGACTGTTACAAGGGAGCTCTATGTTTACATTGACTGTTACAGGTGAGCTCTATGTTTATATTGACTGTTACATGTGAGCTCTATGTTTACATTGACTGTTACAGGTGAGCTCTATGTTTACATTGACTGTTACAGGTGAGCTCTATGTTTACATTGACTGTTACAGGTGAGCTCTATGGAACTTGTACAGGAGATCCACCAGGTGCTTGTGGACAGAGAGGAGTCTTGCCATCGTACATGTTTCTCACTACAACTTGACAATGTCGCACTCGACAACTTTGCAGAGCTTAAAACCATCGAGGGTCTTAAGGAAGGATCTGTTATAAAAGTTGTAGAAGGTAAGGCAGGACCTGTCATCTCTTTGGAAACTTGATTTAAAACTGTTACCAACCATTGATTACAAAATTTGAACTATTAAAAGCCTGCTTTATACTTATTGGCATATCTGTTAGAATTTGTAGTAATTTGCAAAGTTAAAACACCAAGCAGATAAATAAAAATATGTTTTTGAAAATTATTGTGATACAGCAATATTTCATCTCTGTATTGTGGTACGATACAATATACCCATGTATTGCGATATACCTGTTTTCTGATATGTCCTGAAACGTTTTCCCTAGTAATAGGTTGTGCACTGTACCTAGTTTCTGTTTCCAACATGTGTGTATAGACGTGTATAGTCTGACATTTATGAGGTCAGCAACCCCAGCTCCAGCTGTGGGTAGTTATAGCGACCATTTCTTTCTTAAACAGGAACAATCTTTCTGGAGCAGATTGTTTATATATCACTTGCGTATTTGTGTCTCCTAGTCTGCTGGATAACTGTAATCACAGAAAATACTGGGTTTATATTTTGTTTACATATCACTTGCGTATTTGTGTCTCCTAGTCTGCTGGATAACTGTAATCACCGATAATACTGGGTTTATATTTTGTTTATATATCACTTGCGTATTTGTGTCTCCTAGTCTGCTGGATAACTGCAATCGCGGAAAATACTGGGTTTATATTTGTCACATTTTCAGTGTGCAGGGTTTATTGTCATGGCCATTTGCTAATCTCCCACCATAACTTTTGGAAACTAGTTCACTCCTTGTCATTATGATGTGACCTAGGGGAGTGATATACTGGGTGCCATCGGCATGGTGTTTCAGTGAGACTGCACTATTAAGTTTGCATCAGATCACGAAGAGGCACATGCACAACACACATGGAGGCACATCCTTAAATGACCTTAGCTGTTGATAGGACGTTAAGCCCTGTACAGCCAACCAACTATATATTGGACTTGACGCATACGTCAGCCTATCTATTCGACATTCAGTCAGTTTGCATGTCAATTTGTTCAGTGCATATTCCATACAATACATAGGGCCTGCAATTGTTCAATGAATGTAAGTGTCACTTTGGATAGCACAGTTTCCTGTACTTAAATTGGGTTTCATAACCTAATATGAAGAGTTATGGCCCTTTGTGGCGCATCACTTTGTCTTGGGCATATCTCATACATTTCTAGTGCTGCCCCCTTATGGCTGTTTGTTTATGGTTGATACCAAATTTTGACTATAGGTGGAAGAGGATGGACTGATCCCAATGCTTTGCTTTGTTTTCAAAATATAGCTTACAACTTTTTGTGCATACCCTGGGTCTTGGCTATGATTTTATAGCATACATTCACAATCACAGACTCAATATAGGATAATTTTTCAAGGTGACAGAAGGGAGTTCCTGTAGTTGAACATATGTACATATCATTTCTTTATAAGTATTGCATGATGAATAAAGAACTCCTTTCTTTTCACTGATAATCAGCATATTATATACAATTTTAGGAGGCTTCTGTATCTAAATAAAAACTTAAGATTTAAAAGAAACCAAACAAGAACCATCCATGAAGTAATATTTTTATTATTAATTTACAGAACCATACACAATACGTGAAGCAAGAATCCATGTGCGTCACATCCGTGACTTGCTGAAGTCTGTGGACCCAGCAGACGCTTACGGTGGGGCCGACTGTGCTTCTCTATCGTTCCTTAATACCGTCACCTGTGGCGACATACTGGGTAAGCCGATTGGAGGGTGTAAGTCAGTGGAGGTCTTCGTTTTTCTGTTGTTTGTCATCTGTAGCCTTAATGAGGCATTTCAATATGAAAAAAGGACTCTTCCATCAATTGACCGATGCATTTTATTAACAACAACAATATAATAATCATGGTCCTAAGAAATTGAGTTCACTTTCAATTTTCAGATAGTTTCAAAGCCTATATGGATTTACAAAAATTAGTACAAGTATTTAGTAGATGTACGATAAACATTTTAGCAAACGGCATACAGTCTTCAAAGAAGAATTTTATCTACCCTGTTGTTGTTTATTTCTATGTGTTCTGATAAACTCTAATACAATAAAATCCTTCTTCATCTTGAAGTGTGTTCATGACCGCAGTGGTACAAAGTTTATATGTGATATTTTCTGTTTATATTGTAAAAAGGTAGACCGCTCAGATGATGTCCCCTTATTCTGTTTCTTCTTTACTACTTGTAATTTTCTATATAAACATTGTATATTATCAGACAAGAAAAGGAGCAAGCCGGACAGTATTGACTGTACTCCCCCAGACTACATCATGCCTAACGCCAAGGAGAGGCCCATTCTCCCCCTTCACCCGGGCATCAAGGATCTCAAGGTACTGCCTGCATCATCTCAAACACTATTACACATTTCTTTTTGACAGATTTCTTTGCATAAATTAAAGCTTCTCTTAAAAAGGATGAGGACATTTTAGTTCTTATATTATACATGTACTTCTATGTTTACCATATTTGATGATAAGAGCGCTTGGGGTAGGTAATTATAAATGTCAAGAAAAACACGTCTTCAAACAAATATGTCATATTTTGACTCCTTCATTTGATTTCTCCATTATTAAAGTGATGCATCATTCTAGAGATGGCATTAGTCACAGCTACAGCAGATAATGTAATATTGTTTTTCCTTCAATACCTGCTCATTTACAGCACCATTTCACTGGGGGATTCACTTATATAATTACTGGAGCTTTTTTTATTTGCATAATCTTGAAAAGAATAATTCAAGAATTTTAAAACTAGAATTAGAGTCACATTAGTAAAATCATTGGGCTGGTGCGAGTTAGTAGATCCTTATTTGGTTAAATTGGTATATCAAATTATTGGTATATAGTAAATAATTGTTTTTTCATTATTGATTTGTTAATCTGCAGTTAAATTTCTTTTCATGTCTCATATTCCGTCTTTGCGTATTGCAGAGTTGTCTTCTCTTGTGAGCAGGTATTGATTGTTACGTCATTTGTTTGTGAGAGTAACGTCATCAGTTTTTGAGAAAACGACGTAATTTTCTCACACAAACCAATGACGTAACAATCAATCCCTGCTCACAAGAGCAGATAACTCTGCAATACCAAAAGACGGAATAGCATTAATAAAAAAAAGTTGAATTTTTATTGTTTTATACGTGTGCTTTCGACCAGAATTGATTGATATTTTTTGGTACTTACCAGTTTGGTGACTTTATCCTATTAAGTGACCTTAATGTATATAAACATTGATCAAACTTTTCATATTTTGAAGGGTCCAAACTGTATCAAAGTGCTAACCTACAGTGGCTGGAACCCTCCACCAGGCAACAGGAGAATGCATGGTATATACTATTATACAAGCCACAAAGCTTTTACAGTCTGAAAGTTGCATAGGTTGAATATCTGCTGAGTAAATAAACTATCAGAACATTTAAACATGTGCTTATTGAAAGGTGTATAGATATAAAACTGGAAAAAATAATATCAATTCAATTGTCAATAGTTTAATACTGTATGGAGTTTTTGTTGTACAGCCTGAATCTAAAGGTACCATAAGTACTTGTCAAAGCCCTAATACAGTAATATGCATCATCATGTAGCATTTCAGGGCATACAAGTCAGTTATATCATGTAGCATTTCAGGGCATACAAGTCGGTTATATCATGTAGCACTTCAGGGCATACAAGTCGGTTATATCATGTAGCACTTCAGGGCATACAAGTCAGCTATATCATGTAGCATTTCAGTGCATACAAGTCAGTTATATAATGTAGCATTTCAGGGCATTCAAGTAAGTTATATCATGTAGCATTTCAGGGCATACAAGTCAGTTATTAAAATTCAGGAGATTGAAATGACATTTCCAGGTTGACAGGTCTATTAATGTAAAGCATGTTAATTTGAATAAATGAAATGAAGAAAAATAAGCCTGATTCTGCAACAATAACTGAAAATAATGTGTTTTTTTTGCTTTTAGGTGATCTACTGTACATCTATGTTGTAACACTTGAGGAGAAAAAATATCACATCACCGCCTCCACACGGGGCTTCTATGTTAATCAGTAAGTGTGTCGCACGTCCTTCAATAACCTACCTTCGTCTGTAACGCGTGACAAGACACATCAGACTAAATACTGGACCGGTCTAGACACAGACCTTCAGTGTGTATCTATCTTGACACAGACCTTCAGTGTGTATCTATCTAGACACAGATCTTCAGTGTGTATCTATCTTGACACAGGTCTTCAGTAACCTTTCTGTATGCTGTGACACAAAAAGACACATCAGACTCAACATAGGTCTTAAATGTACTTCTCTTACCTACCTACATGCTGTGACTTGTTTGAAATGATACATATATATCAGATTTGACACAGATTTCAGTAGCCTGTCTGCAATATGTCATGACATCATTTCCTTCTCAGACACATTTAGATCGAAAGAATATGCCAGGAAGCAAACTTAAAATATTTTATTATAGGACTTTGATATGCAGTAAACAAACAAACTCATGTAAATAACCACAAAAATAAGGTAAACACCAGTTCTAGAAAAGTTTTAAACAAAGTTGTCAATTAAGTTAAAGGTACATTACTTGCTTAAAGCTTGTTACAATTTATTATTTAAGTGATATCTTTTGGATATCTTTCAGGTCAACAGAAGATGAATTTAACCCTAAAGCTGCTCAACAGAAATTTTTATCACATTCTTTAATAGACCTTTTAATCCAGGTAAGAATACATTATACAGTTTTAGCTTAAGGTATAGAGTGTGATATAATGTCGGATATGAAATTAAATATTAAGGTTATCAGTTATGGCTGTAAATAAGCTGGAAACTACTAGCTTTAATGTCTAGCCATTTAGCTTAAAATTGATATACTGTTCATTTTACCAAGCAATATTTAAAATGTTCAAATTCCAAAATCTCACTTTTTTTTAGAATGTACCTGCGAAATAAACATTTGTTCATGGAAAAGATATTGATGATAGTTTTCGGAAAGTTTTCATTGCTGATATTTTGTGTGCTTTTGTTTGTAGGTTAGTCCTGCCTTTAAGAAAAACTTCAGTATACTGCTGAAGAAGCGAGCCCAGAAACACCCATTTGAGAGGGTACCCACACCATACCAGATATACAGCTGGATGGCACCCTTGCCTGAACACTCCGTTGACTACATCCGTGCTGAGGATGGTAAGAATTTGCACATCAAATCTAAAAATATGAGAAATGAAAACGGTCTTAAAATGAGACAGGAAAATATTAGTATTAATCATTCCCCCCTGAAGACACATTTGAATTCTTCTGATTGAAAGGTTAGAATAGTTCATTATGAAATTTCAGGGGTAAATGAGTTAATGTACTGTGGTCATTAGGACATTTGAGACATGTGTATGTTCCTGTTTTTACCAACATCGAGACAATCAATTGGTCAGTTAAGTCAGGGTTAGAGAGAAACTGGTCTTTTGGGACCAAAACTGGCAAAAGATATTTACAGGATGTGTCGGAAACATCAGGTTTTTAACTGAATTTACACTGGTTATTCGAAAGATAGCATGAAATGTACTGTCAAAGTATAAAGGTTTATGAAAGTACGCATTTTAACAGGTTATAACTACAGTTGCACCTCGTTATCTCGAAGTTGATGGGATGGTGGTTCAACTGTACTGTAGTTCTTGAGTTGATAACTGAGTATTCGAGTTACGCAAGTTTCCATGTTTAATATAAAGTTTGGTATAATGTTTGGTCAAATATGAGTCTATTGTTTGGTCAAATATGAGTCTATTGTTTGGTCAAATATGAGTCTTGTTTGGTCAAATATGAGTCTATTATTTGGTCAAATATGAGACTATTGTTTGGTCAAATATGAGTCTATTGTTTGGTCAAATATGAGTCTATTGTTTGGTCAAGTATGAGTCTATTGTTTGGTCAAATATGAGACTATTGTTTGGTCAAATATGAGACCATTGTTTGGTCAAATATGAGACCAATGTTTGGTCAAATATGAGACCAATGTTTGGTCAAGTATGAGTATTGTTTGGTCAAATATGAGTCTATTGTTTGGTCAAATATGAGACCAATGTTTGGTCAAATATGAGACCAATGTTTGGTCAAAAATGATACCATTGTTTGGTCAAATATGAGTGTATTGTTTGGTCAAATATGAGACCAATGTTTGGTCAAATATGATACCATTGTTTGGTCAAATATGAGTCTATTGGTTGGTCAAATATGAGACCAATGTTTGGTCAAATATGAGACCAATGTCTGGTCAAATATGAGACCAATGTTTGGTCAAATATGAGACCAATGTCTGGTCAAATATGAGACCAATGTTTGGTCAAATATGAGACCAATGTCTGGTCAAATATGAGACCAATGTTTGGTCAAACATGAGACCATTGTTTGGTCAAACATGAGACCATTGATTGGTCAAACATGAGACCATTGTTTGGTCAAATATGAGTATTGTTTGGTCAAATATGATACCATTGTTTGGTCAAATATGAGTCTATTGTTTGGTCAAATATGAGACCAATGTTTGGTCAAATATGATACCATTGTTTGGTCAAATATGAGTCTTGTTTGGTCAAATATGAGTCTATTGTTTGGTCAAATATGAGTGTATTGTTTGGTCAAATATGAGACCAATGTTTGGTCAAACATGAGACCATTGTTTGGTCAAACATGAGACCATTGTTTGGTCAAATATGAGTATTGTTTGGTCAAATATGAGTCTATTGTTTGGTCAAATATGAGTCTATTGTTTGGTCAAATATGATGAGTCTATTGTTTGGTCAAATATGAGACCAATGTTTGGTCAAATATGAGACCATTGTTTGGTCAAAGATGAGTCTATTGTTTGGTCAAATATGAGTCTATTGTTTGGTCAAATATGATGAGTCTATTGTTTGGTCAAATATGAGACCAATGTTTGGTCAAATATGAGTCTATTGCAGTTGTTGATTTTTCCAACAGTCAACATCTATAATTATGTAAAAAAGAGTTCATTCAGTATTATATTCGTTAATATGTAATGTTACATTAAACACACATGCAAATGATCAGTATGTCACTTTCGGATATCCAAGGTTTTTGAGTTTTCAGGGTTTGAATTATCAGAGTTTTAATAACTAAGAAAAGAAGAGTTTATGCCCTGGACCAAAGAAAAACTTGAGTTAAACAGGGTTTTCTAATAATAAGAGTTTGGGATAACAAAGTTCAACTGTATGTGTAGGTGGAATGCTTTGTTTGTTTGTTTGTTTGTTTATGTTTAACGGCCCATCGACGGCTGTGGTCATTTAGGGCCATGGTGATTTATTTATTTATTTTACTTTTTTAACAAACATGTGAATAGCGGAGATAAAATAAGATAAAATGGTTCATTTTAAAAGTATTCGCATTGTATGTGTAGATAATAAAAAATAAATAAAAGGTGGAATGCTTTCATGTACCTATTATGTACACAAGAACAACTTTGTTTTCAGCTTTTTCCACCAGACTAGGATACGAAGAACACATCCCTGGACAGACTCGTGAGTGGAATGAGGAGGTACAGACCACACAGGAGCTGCCTCGTAAAACACTGCCAGACAGACTGATCAGGGAAAGGGCAATTTTCAAGGTGAGTTAGTAGGGGGTGCATACAACTTAGTAATTAACACGTCAGTAATTACTTATCGTACTCTTCAGTTTGAAATATTTACATTCTTGATGAGAAATAATTTCAAGTCCTTTGGTATTAACTATCAAGGGTATGAGATTGTTTAACTTATTTTTTTTTTCAAAAACATACATTTTCACAATTTTTTACACAACAATTTTAAATTATTTTTATCTTACAATGACTTTAGATGTCTGTAGCAACTCTGATACATAGTAGATATGGAAAGATATATTCTCTTGTAAACAGAAAATCAAAAATAATGATTCCAATGAAATTGTAAAGGAAATTTGTTAAAAATATTATGTATGACTAAATGTATGTGTTTCACTGTACAGGTGCACAGTGATTTTGTTGGAGCAGCTACCCGCGGTGCTACGGCAGTTATTGATGGCAATGTTATGGCTATCAACCCGGGAGAGGAAGCCAAGTAAGGAAGATTGTTTTTAATTATCTAGCCAAAAGTCAAGTATACAAATAGATAACTCAAGTGTAATGTCGGAGAGTTCTCCCTAACACACCATTCATGTCTGTCCCTGTAACCTTCAGTAATTACAAAACCTGCAACCTGGAAAATTTCCGCAGTCTTCCTTGAGTGCTAGGCAAGTTGTTGAATTCAAGGCATAATTTCTCACTTTGTTTTTATTCCATGTTACAAAATGTACATCGTGTAATGTTTTGTATTAAAGTGTAATTGTTGAAAATATTACTTTATATGATGATGATAATAATATACAACATTTATATAGCACCTTATATAATTTGCAAGTTTAGGCCATTTTCTGATCACTGAGTCACATTGAGATGCTATTGACCACAGTCTAAACAATATTATTTTTTTTGTGAGGGAGAAACCCTGTAGCAAAATCTGAAAAATCTTCAAAGGGATGACAATATCTTCTATTTTACATCTAACTAGAGAGTAAAAACACCTTAATAGTTTAAGTGGTTGTATGCATTGAATCTGAACACAAAGTAAGATGTAGTAAATTCAGCTTGTTTTCTGTGAACATGAAGGTTGGGAACTCTTGCTTATTTCAAACTCAGTTGTTCGACAAAGACTGGCATCAGGAGTATGAAATAATCAATTATGCCAAATAGGGAAAAAAATATGTCCCCTTGATTCCTTATAAATGTTCTATTGTATTACGTAAAAGTTCGGGATATATTTTTCCACTTTTTCCCCTACAGGATGCAGATGTTTATCTGGAACAACATATTCTTCAGCCTTGGATTTGATGTACGAGATCACTATAAAGAATTTGGTGGAGATGCTGCAGCTTATTCAGCCCCCGTAAGTTGTCTACAGGAGTTATAAATTATTTATCAGATCTAGCTTTATACAAACAAGCTAATGATACTTCATCGTAAATGTCAGTAAGGTGGATAAGTGATATACTGTCATGATTTAACAATTCTACAATGAAAATTTGCGTTACCTCTTGTTTCATAAACATATTACCTGGTAATATTTTGCTGTACTGAGAAAAAAAATCTTATTTAGGTGTTTGTTTTACAGGGAAAGTCTGATTCACATGTATGTTTGAATTACAGGGAAATGACCTGCAGGGAGTGAAAGCATACTTTAACTTAGACCATGAAGGTCTGTACACACTGGGGACAGTCATTGTGGATTACCGTGGCTACCGAATCACTGCCCAGTCCATCATACCTGGCATACTGGAACGTGAACAAGAACAGTCTGTTGTCTATGGTTCCATAGACTTTGGCAAAACTGTTGTCACCGACGAAAAATATCAAGAACTGGTAAGTTTATTTAGAACATAAATATGATCCTCTGACTAAATCATAATTCTGGAGGAGATTAAGTATAAGGGATATCAAAATGTGTTTATATCTAATATATCAAACAATTTGTGTCTGAATAGAATAAGGCAGACAAATAGATCTCAGATCATCTGTTTATTGTTTCAGCTCTCAAAGACAGCAACTTTTCTCAAAGTCAGGCCTCACAAGTAAGTTCTACCTAGATACTATAAAAACATGTTTTTTTGTGAATTCAAAAAATGACTTTAAACATCATTTATTGTCCAGTTTGGAACATAAGATCTGCTAGTTACTGTTTGTTATTTGTTATGGTTCAAAAATAAAACTTTTCCAGATTTGATGTGCATTTAGATAAAAGATAATTTTGTAAATATTTTCATAAAACATTTAAGTAAATAAACATTTTTTCTTAACAGGGTTGTGAATGATAAAGGAGAAGAAGTAGAGCTGTTTACCTCATTAGAATGCAAAGTAAGTACATAACCAGTAGGTTTGATGTGTAAGATCTATACAGAGCTGGAGAAATTTACGCAAGTAGCAGACAAAAATAAAACAACGATTTGATAGCTGTATAAGAATTAAAGTGAGCAGTATTAATTTTACAAGTAACCTTGATGTAATTTCATATTTTGAATCGTTCTGTTTAGGGAATCATTGGAAATGACCGACGGTACTATGTCCTCGACTTGCTGCGGACATCTCCCCCAGACGTTAACTTCCTATCAAGTAAGCGAAGAATCATATCACTACACTTTCTACCACTATTGCCTTGTTTGTTTATTTTTCAACCCACCTATTAAATGGAAGATGCTGTGATTAAACATGTCGGTGTAAACCAACCAGTAATTTTGTTTAAACCAGAAACACTCTTATGATAACTGTGTTTTATGACACTATTGAAACAAGTTTATATAAATCACTCTTGTTGGCCCGGATGGTGGCCTTAATGTGGAAAACAAAAGTACCGGGAGAAAACCTTAAACCTTAAAACCCACTGCGTGCTTACATCCGGACCATCAAGAGTGATTAATACAAGTTGTAAAAACTTTTTTCATAATTGTTGTTAAATCAAGTTTATATTTAAACACTCATTCAGAGATTTGGTTTTTTTTTGTAGTTGACAAGGAGGAATTGAGTGCGGCAATGAGAGAGCATGGTTTCCCAAGAGAACACAGGCATCGTCTAGCTTGTTTACGACAGGAACTTGTGGAGGCCTTTGTTGAGTATGTTAAATCTTTTAACTTACCTTCTGAAACTTAAAATATTTTTAAAAGCCCACACATTAAATATTGTATGGAGAATGTACAATCTATAGGCAGTTATTTAAGACCTATCATTCCATTTTCTGGGGATGGGGGGCTGTGAGTGAAACTACTGATATTAAGGAAATTCTATAGGTATTGCATAGTATTAAATCTGGACAAACTGGTAAATTATTAGCAATGTTAGTCTTCATTAATTGAAGGGAAAATAAAGTAATGTGATAAAAATTAATTTAAGCAATTACAATTTATTTTTTGCGATGTATGTATGTGTATTTTTTTGCTCTGACTAAATGATGCATATGAATTTGTTCCTCCTCTAGGGCAAAATATGTAACGTTTGTGAGGCATGCTGCCATCAACTACCAACATCTGCAGTTAAAGCGACAAGGCAAGGCCGCGACAGAGGCAAAGGCAGCAACCACGGTGAGGCTTCTTAACAGTGATTTACTAACTTTCAGATATGTTTGGTCATAAATATATAATAACAGCCTGGTTTACAGAGAAGTCCAAGGCAAATTATCTTGTTATGGAACTTTATCATCCTGTGTAACTTTAATGAAGTCCCGGGGAGCTAAATCATCTTGTTTACTAACAGATATGTGGGGAATCTAAGTGCTCTTGTTTTTGCATTAGTCTAGGGTAGGGTATCAAAATAATGTTTAACAAGTTTTATTTGCTGTAAGATATTACTATTAAATGTAAGATAAAAAAACGGGGGTTCAATAATTTACACATTTCCTGAAAAGCTGAAATTTACTGGACTTTATTGTTTTTTTGGGTGCCTCACATGACCGATGAACGACAATAGCTGAGCTACATATACTACACACTTAAATAGACTGAAGTTGTCACTAATTGGCTGTCAGTAAAAGGTCACCAATATAAAAACTACCATGTAGTTATAGTTTAAAGTCACTAACTTGTCCTCTTATGGGGCTGGAATAAAATATCAGCTAGAGTGACCCGTTTTAATATGCAGTGTTTTTAGACCCTACATCTTGGCATATAGATTAGAGAGAATGATTTCATTGTAATCCAATTGATGTGTTTTCTAATAGATATTTTATACATAGCATTATTGTGTGGTTATACTTTCAACTGAAGTTGTTAACTTATTTTCTTGGGTAACAAAGGCCAAGCTGACAAATGGTCATTCTGACGAAGAAAAACCACTGGAGGATAAGGAAGAAAATTTGGTCTCTGAGGAGGACAAGAAGTTGGTGAAAGTCTTGACCAGTACGGACCAGGCTGAGCAGGCTGATCAGGTCTCCCAAATACTGCCAGGCATAGACGTAAAAACATGTAAGTCTTCTAGTCAGTAACACAACGAAAGCATGTAGGTTAATACATTTGAACTTAAAGGGAGACATATATAAATTGTTTTTAGTAACTTAGTGTTTAAGAGTTAACGCCAGGAAGCATAAACAACACTATTACTAGCTGAAGAAAACATTTAAAGGATCCCTGTGCCACTGCCAAAAACTGTATAATTAAGGAAAAAAAATACAAGAGTGTTCTAACTTTGAAAAAAAGCAACGGGAAAAGTAACTTATGAAAAACTAGTTGCATTCTCTAGTGTTTTGCATCCAGTGGAAAGTCCTTAATAACATTTATCATTGTGTCAAACTTTCATTGGGTGATGTTGTCAAATGTATTGCTTCTGTAAATTGAGGTGAATATATATCAAGATTTATGTTAATTGAGATAAAGATATTGATTTAAGATTTTATGTTCATTGAGGTAAATATGTAATAGATGTAAAACTTGTTACAGTGGAGGAGGACACAAAGGATGTGGTGAAGAAGGCTGCTAAAGTGGTCAACTCACTGAGTGATACAGGTAAGTATTACAGGTAACTCATACAGAGATAACAACTATTACAGGTAACTCTTACAGAGATAACTATTACAGGTAACTCTTACAGAGAACAACTATTATAGGTAACTCTTACAGAGAACAACTAGTACAGGTAACTCTTACAGAGATAACTATTACAGATAACTCTTACAGAGAAAAACAACTATTACAGGTAACTCTTACAGAGAAAAACAACTATTACAGGTAACTCTTACAGAGATAACTATTACACGTAACTCTTACAGAGAACAACTATTACACGTAACTCTTACAGAGAAAAACAACTATTACAGGTAACTCTTACAGAGAACAACTATTACATGTAACTCTTACAGAGAAAAACAACTATTACAGGTAACTCTTACATAACAACTATTACAGGTAACTCTTACAGAGAAAAACAACTATTACACGTAACTCTTACAGAGAACAACTATTAGAGGTAACTCTTACAGAGATAACTATTACACGTAACTCTTACAGAGAATAATAACCATTTACTATAGGTTTCTATTACTGGAAACTTTATGTATAACAGGTAACTTACTCATGTAAAAAGATGGTAGTCATTCAAATCTACAGATACAACAGACAAATGACTCGGTTGCAACTGACTTCAATAACACAGGAAAATGGCATAAATCACATAAATAATGACAAAAGTGACACATCCACAACTTTTATGAAAGTTACACAGGTTGAACTGATTTAAGTTATACAGGTACAACAGACACAAAACACAGGTACAACAGACAAAAAACACAGGTACAACAGACAAAACACAAAGGTACAACAGACAAAACACACAGGTACAACAGACAAAACACAGGTACAACAGACAAAACACACTGGCACAACTGACTTGAATTACATATGTACAACTGGCAAACCACATGTATACATTTAATAAACTTACACTGCTACAACTAAGAAACCTTGATTTGAAAAAGATTTAGATGTACTGTTCTCCTTTGTTTTCAGAGTTTAACATCACATTCAACCCAGATGTTTACCAAGCCCATGTGAAGCATGCCAATCCAGAGGTAAACTAATTTTTGTTTAGCATTTTAAAAGAATGACATGATTGACTTGATTCATTTCAATATTCCAATCTGATATAAGGCAACCATACATATTTTCCCGTCTAATGTTATATATCTAAATTGATTGAATTATTTTCTCCAGAGTGAAACTCTGCGTCGGGAGAAACAGTTGGTGAAGGATGCCGCGGAATTTCTAGTTGTGTATCAGATCCCTTCCCTGGTGAGTAATCCCAATCGACTCGGGAAAACAATTGTTTTTAAAGTTCAAAATACTTCCATAGTTTCTGTTGGTTATGTATGACGCGCAGTACCAAAAAAGGACATTAAGTGATTGATTTCCCCAAAAAAATGACCGTTCTATAATTATTTCGGTAATTATTACATTTCATTTAATTAGAATTTTTATTTCACTTTTTAATTTTTCACTTAAAAAGAAAAATGGACAATGAAGTATTTGTATATGTTTATAGATCAGTGACTGTATGGATCACACCTCCTCGCCTATTGATGGATCTACACTGACAGAGGCCATGCACACCAAGTAAGTGTTTCACTGTACTATCGCTATAGCGATTAAGTCACGTACTAATATGGCAGGCTATCCTGTTTCACTTATTGGAAGGGGGATTGGGGTTGGCAATTGAGATACTGTGAAATCACTTAATTTTTGTGGAGTTTTTAATTTTGTTGGGTAATGTTCATCCACGAATTCATAGGTCCATGGAGTAATTACAAGTTTGATACAGAGCAATTCTGCGTTTTAGTGTTTACTAGTAATCCATGAATTCACGTACCCGTGAGATAGTGGTTTGTTGGAAAACCATGAAAATTGGGCCCTTGTGTGATCATGATTTATGGGAAATGTAGTTTAAAACAAAAATTGACACAGTTTTATAAACTCACAGAAGCCTCTTCTGGATCCACATCTGTATTTCCAAAAAATTACTAAAAAGGGAATTGTAGTCTTGTATAAAGAACATAAAAAACCCTTACATTTAACATTGTTATGTAAAAAAGGAAGGAAAAAAGTGATAAACATGGCCGTAGTAGTTACAATATCTGTATGTTCTGTAAGTGATTTTAATGTTTGTTTTGATAAACTCGCAAGGAAATAACTTTGTCTTTATGGTGTAATTTGTTGCCGTCAAATTATCTCATTTAATGTGGTTTAACCTCGAAATATAATGAAACCTTCTTTCTCACAGAGGCATCAACATGAGATACCTGGGAAAAGTGGCCGAGATGTTGACCAAGTATCCGTCTGTGTCGTATGTCCATGTATGTACCAACAATTTATTTGATGTTCTCCTGCATTAATGTCGTAAACACATTACTTCTTATCATAATCTATAATCCTGAGTAATCTATAATCCTGAGTAATACAAAAAGACCTTTATCTATGTAACTTCCTATGTACCATAACTTAGATTTAGGTAATATTTTTATTCTTGTTCAATATAGTTCAAAAAATATGATGAAATAAACATGATAACAGCAAAATATATTTTTGCTGGAAATTTTTCAGAGTTAAAATTTGTTAGAAACAGTCCTGGTGTTGAGAATAGCTGTGCCTCATAAGCAGTTTACACTTCGACACCAACTGGGGGGGAAATGATTTATGGGCCATTGGCTATTTGTCAATACTTATGCACTAGAAATTTCAACAATATTTAGGCAAAACTGAAGATATCAAATGTTCCTAACAATATTTTCTACAGACTATTGCTGTTGGAGAGCTGATCACCAGGGCAACCAAACACCTGTTTAAGACCTATATGCAGGGAGTAGAGATGATGAGCCTGTCCTCGGCTGTCAGCCACTTCCTCAACTGTTTCCTTGGGTCGCACACAGCACCGCACGCTCAACTCACTGCTGAAGAGGTAAGAATACTAGAGGCCTCCGTTAACAAGCTGAACTTGTTCGACTAGGGTTCATATCATTCATCGTTTATGAATTATGAACAGAGCTTGTGAGTTAAGTTACTTTCTGCCTAGCCTTGGCAAGTACTTTCACGGCGTTCAGCAAGCATTTGCCAGCCCATCTGGCTTCACCCCTGAAACATTACATTTAAAAAATAGATACACTCATTCGTCTGCATTAACAAACAGACATGGCTGAAATAACCATAAATACAGAGATTCAAAGCCAATTGTTTTATTGACTCACTGAATCCAACTGTTTAATGACTCGCTCTAAGATATGGGTTAGTGGTTTATGTTTACAGGTAGGAATATGAAATGATAGGTAGCAGAGTACAGTAGAAATGGCTTGACCCTAAAAATAAAGGGCATGTCTACTGTACACTGCTACCATAGTATTGTTTAGGGTGGTTCCATTTAACTGTCTTTGAAGAAAACTAAATAATTTGAAGGCAATGCCTAACAGACCCACAGGGTGGAGAGATTTATATATCGTTTGTCAACATCATGACCCGGTATTTGTTATTAATAAATAATTCTTTTAACCTGTTTATACGTCTTTATCTAGAAATTATCATTACTAAGATAGCTTGATAATAAATGAAATACAAATTATAGGCCATGGAGAGCATTGTAGGATAAATCTAATGGTGTTGTTGTTCTGCAGTTACAGAGCAAGAAAGCTAGGAGGAAAAACATTAAAAAGAACAAAGCTGCAATCTTCAACATGGGTGAGTATTTTGTTTTCATAATTAGAGTTGTGAGACAAAAAAAAACAACTGCAGAAAATAATGCCATTTGAATTCTGTTGGATTTAAAGATATTTTACAACAGGGCTTCTAATTAAAAAACTGACCATAAGCTCAAACAATATTTAACTCACCTACCCAAAGGCATTGTTGCTTAAATAAAGTTGGTCAACTCAAATCAAAATGCACATTTGGAGAAATATTTATTCTATAAAAAGTTTTGATAGGAACGTGAGGTATGGTACCAAAGGGATGATTTAAAGTAGACTTATTGTTAAATTAGCGAAAGCCCCCTATCAGAGGACAGTTTGTTTGGGGTATTCATCCTAGGGCTCTGAAAACCCTGGCAGTTCCAAACAAATCAGTAATCAATGTACAATTTATTTACATGGGTCCTTTTCAACTGTATTGCAAAAGCCAATGATGGGTCCCAAATGTTAAATTAAAGTACTTCTTGAAATTCTATTGAGTCCCATCAAATTATATAAGTATAGGACTCTGGACACTTATGTAGATTTATCACTGCAAATCATAGATATGGATATATTTATACTTCCATGAAAAATGGATATATTCATTTATCAACATGCTTGGGAAATGAACATATTTAAAAGAATAGAAAGGTTAATATTATTTTTAGCTGTTTTTACGTTTTTTTGCAGACAATGTGGAATGGGTTTTAGAGACACCAAAGACACTATGGAAAAAGGTGGTAGAGGAAGTGAAAGACTACTTCTACTTCACAGTGGAATGGTGAGTGACAGTGATGACAGGCTAGCTAAGGTGTATTTAACATTCTTAAAGTGTCCTACCAAGAGATTCTCAGAAGCGTTTTACCTAATAAAATTGTTGACTCGCTATATATAATCATGTATTAACATATTACTTATTATACCTTCTGTTAAAATCTCGTAATCTGATTGGTTGAGAAAGATGTGAACATTTTCAATGTTACTTGCTCGTTTTACAAAAATAAAGAAGACAGGGTGTTATTCCAAAAAATATCACATGCGCCAAACGTATGCGTGCACGGTTCGTCCCAGTGCCAGGGTGTTATTCCAAAAATTGCCCTCTCATGAATGTGATATTTATATAGTGTGCTCAGTAACTCTGTTGAACATAAAATATGTTGACTCACTATAATCACGTAACATTACTTTGTGTGCTCAGTGACTCTGTTGATGGCCTAATAAAATCTGTTGACTCGCTATAATCACGTGACATTGCTTTGTGTGCTCAGTGACTGTTGATGGCCTAATAAAATCTGTTGACTCGCTATAATCACGTGACATTACTTTGTGTGCTCAGTGACTGTTGATGGCCTAATAAAATCTGTTGACTCTATAATCACCTGACATTGCTTCGTGTGCTCAGTGACTCTGTTGATGGCCTAATAAAATCTGTTGACTCGCTGTAATCACGTGACATTACTTTGTGTGCTCAGTGACTGTTGATGGCCTAATAAAATCTGTTGACTCTATAATCATGTGACATTACTTTGTGTGCTCAGTGACTGTTGATGGCCTAATAAAATCTGTTGACTCCCTATAATCACGTGACATTACTTTGTGTGCTGAGTGACTCTGTTGATGGCCTAATAAAATCTGTTGACTTTATAATCATGTGACATTACTTTGTGTGCTCAGTGACTCTGTTGATGGCCTAATAAAATCTGTTGACTCGCTATAATCACGTAACATTACTTTGTGTGCTCAGTGACTCTGTTGACTCGCTATAATCACGTGACATTACTGTGTGTGCTCAGTGACTCTGTTGACGGTGCGTTGGAGAAGTATGGCCTCCAGAGAGTGTCCATGCTGAGGGAGATATGTCGCAGCTGTGGAATGCAGATCCTGTTACGCGAGTACAACTTGGAGTCGAGGAACAAACAGATCTTCTACGAGGACGATATCATCAACATCTTCCCTAAAGTCAAACACATTCATCCAAAGGTAGGCCAAACTTGGCTTAAAACAAATGTTTCAATTAATTGTAAGGCAAATTTAAACCAGAAACCATGTAATGTGTAGTTGGTATATCTCAGTAAAAAAAATCACTGTAAGAAGGTTATATTATTTTGATAAGTGCCGTGTCCCTATGTAACAGATCGTTTTTGTTGTTCTTTTAATGTTAGACAGTAGATGCTGTTAATTCTGCATTTCCACTCAAATAATTTCAGTTTATTCCTATATCTTTGGAATACAGATGAAAATCAAGTCTTGACATTTCTTCCAATTAGATCCATTTAAAATATTGATGCTTAAACGTTAAAAACATGTTATACATGAGACGTGATTTGATGGTGATAGTTTTAAAATGTTATGATACAATAATTCAGCTGTTATATACGTGAGACGTGATTTGATGGTGACATACCTTGTATTACAGGCATCAGATGCGTACCACTTTTTCACAAGCGGTCAAGCTAAGATACAACAAGGTTTGATGAAGGAAGGTTATGATCTGATTAGTGAGGCACTCAATCTCCTCAACAATGTGTATGGCGCCATGCACCCCGAGATCTCGGCCTGTCTCCGGCTCATGGCCAGACTTAACTACATCCTCGGGGACTATGGCGAGGTGGGCAAGGGGGCTTATCATTTGGGCTGTGTGTGCAAAACGATTTTTATGCTATGAAAGTAACAAATATGAACAATTTTGTTTCTGAAAAGTCGTTGACGAAATGTCTAATTTTAACAAAATACGTAGAAAGACACGAGGACTTTGATGATATTTGTAATGCTCTTTATAACGCTCCAATCATCTGTTTTATATGAAATTGTCCTAGTTTACATTTAATATTAGTAATCTCACCTTTATCTGCAGGCACTGTCATACCAGCAGCGAGCAGTACTTATGAGCGAACGAGTACAGGGGTTGGACCATCCTAATACAATCACAGAATATGTAAGTTGGGTCTTGAGTTTACTGTCATTCAATTGTTCTGTCCCAGATTTATAGCTCTGTTTCGCAGAAATGTCATTAGAAACGAAACTTTGTTTTACGCCAACAATGTAATGACACAAGTTCTATCAACTTATAATATATGTTGTTGGCCCAACTGGGAGCATGCAGGGGGTCATAATGTGAGGAGGGGGGGGGGGGGGGGGGGGGAGAGTATTGGGAGAAAACCCACATGGTTGGGCAGATGACACCAAAACTTTTTACGTACAATCATGGAATGAAACCGTATAGCTACATCGGCAAAAGATGTATGTAGTAATGAGAAGGTTTATGCACAAAGAAAATTGAGAAGAAGAAAAGGGAAGATTGGATTTAAAATATTATTTAAACAAGTTATTGAATGTTTAGTGTGGTGTAAATATTAAGTACCATTGGTTTTATCCTTGTCTATATATTTCAGTCCCACTTGGCACTGTACTGCTTTGCCAACAACCAGGTGTCCAGTTCTTTGCGCCTGATGTACCGTACTCGCTACCTCGCCCTGCTGTGTCACGGCGAGGACCATCCTGAGGTTGCTCTCATTGATGTAAGTTATCAAATAAAATTGAAGTAATGGTCACAGGGACCTGTGAATATCAGCAATTGTGAAGGACGCCAAATATAAATCTTGCCTCCTGTTCTTAAATAAATATGTTGATTTTAAAATGGGCAAGGAAGCCTTAATTTAATTTTTGTGTAAAATAAAATAAAATAGCTTTCAGTGTTCAGTTTCCAAATAGCCAATACTATTGCATTCTTCAGTACCGGATGGTTTACCTACCAGTAGTAATATGCTGGCAGCTAGTTAGTCACATTTAATTTTCTGGTGTAAGTTTAATGTATTAATAAAATATATCATGAGGATGGAAAAATGAATAATATATGATGGTAAGATGTATTTTTTGGCAACATTATCAAATCTGAGAATGACCAATGAGAACTGTCATAAGTATTAGAATATTCATTTTTCACAACAATTCATCCACACATGTTTAGAAAGTCAACCTTTTAATCTGTTTGTCTTTCAGAGCAATATCGGGTTGATCCTACATGCTGTTGAAGAGTATGAATTGTCCCTTAGGTTCCTTGAACATGCTTTACAACTCAATCAAAAGTAAGAATGACTTTCCTTTGATAGGGATACTTTGCCTCAAATGACTCACATTGTCAATTGGCCATAAAACATTGCAGAACAAAAAAAGTCGGTGAAACATAACACTTCAAGGAGACCAAACCAGGATAATAAGAAAATATTTTAGAAATTACAAACACAATAGAAATAATGTACAACAGTGTAGTTGTATAATCTAACAATGAAGAATTGTCCTGACATTAAAGAATTGTCCTATCTTGATATATAGAGGATCTGTCATTCGTTTCCCTTCATACTAGATTTATGATGCAAGTTTTGGAATTTCCATGTTTGCTAGCCTCTGTTGAGCAAATATGAAAAGTCCAAAACGAGTATCATAAATCTAATATGAAGGGAAACGAATGACAGATTCTTTTTATTATATAATACAAAGTAAACTGTATAATTGTGATCTGAAGCGAATATTTTGCACTTGGCCGCCTTTGATACAATGAAAATTGTGTCCGCTTCACAATGACGTAACGTCACATTGAGTGTTCCTATTCAATTGTGACGTCATTTCCGGAGTGATATTACACGTTACACAAACATAATTTATGTGATGGCTTTATGACACTGCATAACGCGGTATTTATTTCATATGAAATAGATATTTCTCATTGGTTTTGTTCTATTTCAATAAAAAGAAAGTTTGTAAAGAAAAAATTGATATTATAGAAATGATGGTTAATGATTTTGTTTTTACAGGTTCCATCGTAAACTTAGCTTAAAGGTTGCCATGAGCTACCACCTTGTAGCTAGGACACACTCATGTCGGGGAGACTTCAGAGCTGCCCTACAAACAGAAAAGGAGGCCTATGTTATATACAAACAGATGGTAGGTGTCGTAGATAACAGTGGTGTGTAGTAAACACTGCACTGCCTACCCTGCTGTCAGTAGTACAGCTAATATAATGGAATATTTCTCTCCATATGATCATCCTGCCTTATGTTATAAAAAGTACAGGAGATTTCTTCTCAAACTTTAAACACAGGGAACTGTAACAGAAATACTTTGTTGATTAATGAAAACAAAATAAAAAAAAGATTTCCTTAGAAAACAGCAAAAATGGTATATCAATCAACGGAAGTAATGTCCTGGCAATAGATTATAATGGGGGGGGGGGGGGGATTTTTTGAAACCAGTTTCTTCAATTACGGGGAATAAATGTCTGTATACATATTAATTGATATAAAGTAGTGATAAATACTTAGATTCTTCATGATGCATAAGTTACTTCCTATACACAATGATATCTGAGTTTATTCCTAGCTCTATTTAATTGTTTGCTGTAGCTTGGTGAGGAACATGACCGGACTAAGGAGAGCTCCGACTGTCTGAAGCACCTTACTCAACAAGCAGTGGTGTTCCAGAAGAAGATGAATGAGATATACAAGGGAGAGAAAAGTATCACACTACCTCCCCTCCAGATACAGACACCCTCCATTGCCAGTGTGATGGAAACCCTTAACGCCATCAACGGCATCGTCTTTGTACAGATCAGGTAGGCATGAGTACTACGGGCCAGACTTGCAGAATATACCTCTGTTCTGTACTACGGGCCAGACTTACAGAATATACCTCTGTTCTGTACTACGGATCAGACTCACAGAATATACCTCTGTTCTGTCCTACAGAATATATTAATCACCTTTTGTACAGAATATAAAGGCCTCATTTAATTCCTGTTAATCCAGGAAAACAGGCTTAGACTCATTATTTACAAATATCTGCAATTTCATTTGATGTATTGTACAGAAGTGCAATATCTACATTTCCTCAGTTGTAAATATTCTAGTAGCAGAAACTGGACTGGGTTGATCGCCAGTGACAAGGCAGCTCAATTGGTTAGAGTGTCTGGCTAAGAGTTCTGGGTTTAAATCCCTGTCTGCCTGTGTATTTTTCCTCTCCTATTACATCCTTTTGACATTAGAAAGAGACCAAAGCAGATGTTTTCAATTAAATAGATGAATTGCAATTTTAATTGATCAGAGCCAAAAACAGCAATAGCATACCTTATAAAAGTTGATCTTCTTCCATAATGATGACAGATCTCATTTTTAGAATAAGTTAGTAAAAGACTTGTTTTGATTCTCTTCAGCCCAAACGACCTTGATAAGATTAAACAACAGATGGGACAGACCCCCATGGTGTCGGCACCGATAATCATAGACAAAACTAATGGCCAAGACAGCACACCTGAAGAGGAACAGAACAAATCTGAAGAAAACGACACAGAAAATAAAGAGAATATGCCTAAAGATTGTACAGCACCCAAATGTCAAGGTGATGTCGCCGAGATGAAAGCCAAAGTTAAGCAACAGAGTCAGGTCATTCAGAATCCAGAAGTTGTGGCTAATGGACAATGAGGTTTGAGCCAGGTCTGCTCCACCGATTGACAGACAGTGTGTACAAACCCAGGAAAGGCTGGTGCCACTCACTAGATGTAAACATTTCCATTGCATAAACTTTCACAGGAAAGAGGAAGAAAGTGATTGGGAATGACAAATGTTCAGATTGCATGGAATTTGAATATTGATACAGAAGTGAATGAGTAGCTGACAGCATCCAGTCGCGGTATTTCAGTGTCGTTTCGTGTCTACAGAACAAAAACATGTCTACCCGTCATAGCATGCATATCTGTGATACTCTTAACCTTTTCATGAAACTTGCCAACAGTTGTTAAAGATATTATGTAAGGGACAACTCTGTGTGAGACTCCGAAGTTGGTTCAATGTGTGTGGCTTTGGCAAGCATTAAATGCAAATAGCGGTGTTCCAAAATGGCTGGGAACATTTTCACTCTCAGATTTCATGTACAGCTTTAAACGTGCATGCAAACCTAGCCCTGTGTCCCTGTTGATGTTATAAACATGTGGCATGCAACGCTCTCCATCAAAACATATCCTCCATTGTAGAAAAACAAATCCTGTTGTTGTAGAAAGAAGTTTAAATCATTTTATACAGATTAATGTGAAACAATTCTTTGAGGTTTACATAGATTATGTATTGGTTTAATTGATCTTGGCCATGGCAATATTGGACTTATCTAAATGTTGGTGGTAGCCATGATGATATGCAGGCCTGTGTGGTTAAAGGAAGACAACGATGGAGTCTGTCCTGTACACTTCACAGTTCTTGGCATCCTATGGTCAGCACGGTAGCGCGAGACTCTTGGAGTGTAGTTAGCTGTGTGCTTTATCTTATGTGGTAACATTTTCTGACTGAGAGTTTCTGATTTTTACGGAGAGGAATGTGAAATTGTGTGAGTGATAAAATGATTTAAGTAATCAATATAGGCATGTTTGTGAATTAATATAACATAGGTTTGAGTGAGTGATAAAATGGTTTAAGTAATCAACAAAGGCATGTTTGTAAATTAATATAACATAGGTTTGTTCTTAAGTATTTAATTTTCATGTTTAATATATATACAACTGTGTAGAGTGTGTGTGGTAGGCAACCTCGGGAAATCTTCCTTGTTCTAATGGTGTAGTCCAATCAGTAAGTTATACAATGTTTGTGTTCTTTGTAGGGCATTATGGCAGCACCCAGTCATATTTTACTAGTTACTTTGAACGTGGAAATTTTAGTGTTGTGGAAATGCTCACATTTTTTTTTAGAGTAATTTGTGCAAAATTGCCAATGCAAAAAATTCCCACAACATAATCAGTTTGAAAAGTTGCGACACAAACATTTTTATGTGTGAGAATTTCCACTTTTACAGTATCTCAAGTAAAAACAATATTCAGAAATAACTTAACCTTCTAAGTAACATGTATATTGCCTGTTGATTTTCTAGAACGTCCAGTTATCAGAAGCCGATGACTGATAGTGTCCATGGCTATAACTTGGGTTAGATTTCTGACCACTTGTCCTTCCTGAGATCCTACAGAGATTACTGAATGTATAGCATATGCTGTGAAATTTGGATCATTGCAACATGACTCCAACTGTTCTTTGATATTCCAGCATCATGGTATGTACCGCTATGTTAAAATTGGTTATTATAGGTGTGTTATTAACAGAAAGACTTCAGATAATATGGCGCCACAAAATGTGACATGGTCCTCCTTTAAAAAAAATTCTATTTTGAGAAACCTGCAAAAACAACTTTCACGCTTGGTGATAAGGACTCCATTGGTCACTTGATGACACATTTTAATGTTACATATTTTAAAAATATGAATTTATTAACTCATTCACCCCTAAAGACACATTTGAACTCTTCCAATTCAAATGTTGGAATAGTTCATAATGAAATTTCAGGGGTGAATGAGTCTTAAATGGAGATGTTGTAATACTAACATGATCGCGTGTGTGGCGTATGTAATACTAACATGGGCGCGTGTGTGGCGTATGTAATACTAACATGGTGGCGTATATAAATGTATAATGTTGATATAAGAAGCTGTTAACTACACCTTTAAAAACCAACTCATGTAGATCACACTCGAACGATGACACATTTGCGAGTTGCATAAATATGAATTTATTGCTAACACCCTAGTACAGATTGTAAATCGTTCAAGGAGATAACTAGCAAACAGATGTGCAGTAGATACATGTAAAGTAACTGTCCACTTTATCCCTTTAAAAATCAAGCCATGTGTTAACACATTTGATACAGATCTGCTGAAATTCTTAACAGAAATTGAGCGAATTTTAAGCCAGTGTCAGATTGTCATTGTAAATATAATATTCAGATCATTTGTACATATATCATGATTCCATGCTTGTCATTATCTAGTCTTTCAAAGGGACTATGTAAACTGATCTCTGTATCCTTAGTGGTATCAAGTATAAAAAGGAGAAAATCTTTATATCAATATCATATTTTAAGAAACATAAAAAAAAAATGCAATTTTCTATTTCGTGAGTTATTTCCAAATTTTAATAAAAATTTGAAATAAAATAGGGTACTTCAACTTTATACAATAATGTAGCCTGTTAAATCTCCAGCTGTATACAACAATGTAGCCTGTTAAATCTCCAGCTGTATACAACAATGTAGCCTGTTAAATCTCCAGCTGTATACAACAATGCAGCCTGTTAAATCGCCCTGAAATCCACAAGACGAGGCATTGAGAGAATGACATGATACATGGACGAAACAACTTGTGTGGTGTTGTGTGTGATATTTAGTGTATGCTGCTGCATGTTATACTAATTAGTCAGAGGGTACTTACTCTGTAGGTTATTGTGTGTTGTAGGTAGGTAAGACTGCGGTGTAAATAGAGGTTAGGGTAAATCAGATACCTGATTACCTCCCTTTTAATATACATTACAGTAATGTGAGTTACTAGGTCCAACCTTATTTCATAAACAAACAACTCTGGTCTAACTGACTGGTCCAAGCGTTTTGAATGCAATAAACAAAAGTGTCCTAAGTAAGCTCTACCTGTAAAGATAGTGATAATGTCACTACAAGAAGAGATCTACAGAAATAATATAAGCACTTACTACTAGTGCTAACCATAATCATATCAGGGTAATTGGTAAGGCTGCAGTAAAAAATATAAGCATGGCACAGAGGATATGTATGCATGTTAAGAATTGTTGTTACAGAGTCAATGTTTGATCAGTGCACTACTGCATATGACATAAAATATTGCTTCTCAAAAATTACCCCGAAAATCAGGTTTATTTTATAAGAAAAATCCAATGCATTAGAGATATTCAGGTATTTATTTTAGCTCGCCTGCCTGAAGGGCAATTGTTTAGATTTAAGGTGATTGATGTAGAAATGTGTGTATCAGTTTGGTCAAGAGAAACATTTCTATCTGCAACTGATTGTGTGTCTGCAGAGTAGAAGATAGCAGTGCGTTTTACTCCAGTTACACCAAGACATGTTTTTCATGGACGTAATAAAGAGAATCATGTTAAGCTTTTGGTAAGGTATTTAACTGCAGTTCTGTATTTAGAAAAGAGCTTCATTAGTTTTTGCTTATAAATGTAAAACTGATTTATGCAGTTATTGTGGCCATTGCAGATTTGAAAAATACATCCTGTAAACTAGAGGAGAAACCTTTTGCAGAAATTAATTTTCAAATATACATGGCTCTGCTTGAATTATCGTAATTGCCAATAATTATCTGGTGTTATACGCCCAGCAAGCTTTAGGTGTGTTAATGCTATATGTTAGTGTATCTGCTGAATACGTTGGTAAAGCCGGTAGAGGACTACTTGTTACCTGTGATAGCTGACCTGTAGAGGACTACTTGGTACCTGTGATAGCTGACCTGTAGAGGACTACTTGGTACCTGTGATAGCTGACCTGTAGAGGACTACTTGTTCCCTGTGATAGCTGACCTGTAGAGGACTACTTGTTACCTGGGATAGCTGACCTGTAGAGGACTACTTGTTACCTGGGATAGCTGACCTGTAGAGGACTACTTGTTACCTGTGATAGATGACCTGTAGAGGACTACTTGTTACCTGTGATAGCTGCCCTGTAGAGGACTACTTGTTACCTGTGATAGCTTACCTGTAGAGGACTACTTGTTACCTGTGATAGCTGCCCTGTAGAGGACTACTTGTTACCTGTGATAGCTTACCTGTAGAGGACTACTTGTTACCTGTGATAGCTTACCTGTAGAGGACTACTTGTTACCTGTGATAGCTGCCCTGTAGAGGACTACTTGTTACCTGTGATAGCTGCCCTGTAGAGGACTACTTGTTACCTGTGATAGCTGACCAGTAGAGGACTACTTGTTACCTGTGATAGCTGACCAGTAGAGGACTACTTGTTACCTGTGATAGCTGACTTGTAGAGGACTACTTGTTACCTGTGATAGCTGACCAGTAGAGGACTACTTGTTACCTGTGATAGCTGACTTGTAGAGGACTACTTGTTACCTGTGATAGCTGACCAGTAGAGGACTACTTGTTACCTGTGATAGCTGACCTGTAGATGACTACTTGTTACCTGTGATAGCCGAGGGAACCTAGTCTTACAGGGTAAACAGGGAAGTGATTATTCTGCTATTTGATCATACATGTAGAGAAGGCTGTCAGAACACTTGTTAATCGGGTTGGGCGTATAATATTGATCATGGGGGTTTATCATTAGTAAGCTGTACATGTTGTATGCTTAAGTAATTTCTTGTCTTGAGATAAACAAGGGAACAGATTAATGTTTATTCCAGCAAGTAGCCCATGAACTAGTGACCTTCAGTGGAACTTTTCTCTGCACAAGGTCAAGTCCTAACATTACTTGGCCATGATAAAAAAGTACCGTTTTTGGTAATAATTTAAAGGAAAGCAAGTCCTTCAGAATTTACATTTAAGACAGGGTAATAGTTATAGTAAACCTTATAAACAAAGTGTGATGTAGCAAACTCAGAAATTTTATAAATTTTTCAGTTTTATGGGTCGGAAAAAAAATGTATTAAAATGAATGAATGCTATATTTTAAAATTTTTAACTTTTCAACTTTTAAACTTTAAAATTTAAAGGGAAAATTCCTCGAATCCAAGCATTTAGCAACAGCACTGGTTCAGTATATCTAAGAGGTTAATGGTTAGTATGTAGTTATGCTTTACATTGACCTTGTGAGATGACCTTTCACCCTAAACCAGTAGTCCTAGTATTGGTTGGCTAGTAGATGTTACATTCCAATATATATTCACCTGTAAGTGTAAATGTAGAATTTCTGTGAATTTTTTTTGTTATTAGCTTTTTCTTGTCACACAAACTAACAAAGTGCTATATTTTTGCAGATATCCTTAAATACCAACTCTGCCATTCTTTGCCAAAATCACAGATCAAATGAGTTGCAGCTTACATTATAAACATACATTTTCTGGTAGGTTTTTTCTTGAAATGTTGTATTATTTAGTATAAAGATGTTTCTAATACACAGATAGGATCAGTAAAAGGTTCAAATTAAAAATGATTATTTGTCCTATGTCAGTAGTTTTATGAACAAGCATGCACATGGGTAAACTTTGGGAGTCGCAGCATTTAGTCAAGAGTGGTTTCCAAAACCCAAAAGCATTTTAGAAATTAGAAACAATTGTATACTATTTATTTAAGTCTTTCACTTAAAAAATTGATTCATTTAAGATTGATTTTTCATATACATCACGCATCAATTACATTATATTGATACCTCCTACAGGTATGTGTATAAACCAAATACATTTATTTTGCATATTATATTGTCTGATTCTGTTAAATTTAATTATTTTTATTCTATATAGAATGTTTTACAATAATAAATGGGGTGCTACCTGATTACCTCCCTTTACTATACATTACAGTTATGTAGTGAGTTCAACTGGTCCAAGCATTTTGAATGCAATAAACAAGTGTACTAGGTAAGCTCTACCTGCAAAAATAGTGATAGAAATAATATAAATACTTATTACTACTAGTGCTAAACCATAATAATATCAGATTTATTAAAATTATGTACAGAGTTGATACAAATAAAACACAGATCTTATATCATGTGAGCAGCACTAGGTAGGGGAGGTAATCGGTAGTCATTTGTTAGTGTGGTTTTAATTGTGTTCACGTTTTAGTGTCATTTAGTTAATTGCATGCATTGAAAATATGTTCTTGAAAATATTTCTTTGATGAAACATATTCATTTCAAATGAGATCTGTTACAAAATGAAAAGTCAAACTAAAATCAAAAGTCATGTATATATCCGATCTAAGAGAGAATGAGCTGTCTGCAAATGTATTGATATGTACATGGTACGTTATTCTGAGAGATGAAACAATTTATCTTTTAAACACGATTTTTAATGAGATGCTCAGGTATAAGTTCAGATTGACACAAGTATGTTGTTGTTATGTGTTAGTACATAGTGTGTGTACAGATACTGTATATAAAATTATAACAACCTAAGATTACATAACAAAAATATACGTTTCTTTGTGCAAAGTGGGCCCTGTTTTTTTTCAAAATTATTTTATTGCCATGTTTTTTTGTTTAACCCAGCCATTTGCTTGATTATTCCATTGGCTCTGATGAAAATTGTAACTAATTCCAAAACTAGGCATCACATACACTTCTAAATGGTACTGACCAACTTCAACAATTTGAAGATAAAATTACACGCAATTACACGCAATGGTCAGTTGATGTATTAGTAAATGATATGGATTTTGATATACATACTAGTGTCCAGCTGTCAGTATATTTATCAATTATTCGTCCACCGATTTAATTGATCAAATTAATGAAGATTAATATAGAATTTCCGATGAAATATGATTTCTGTACTAGAGCTATAATATATACAGGGGACATATGCATGTATTTTGTTGTTTCCAAGATTTTTTTTCGTGAATATATTTTCTGCATTGTGAAGTAGTATACCATATAAAAGTGTGTTATTATGATCCATAAAATCATATCCAAGACTGGTTTGGATGTCAAAATCATCAATAAAACTAGCAAGTACTAGCAAAATCATGTGTTTGTCGTGTATTTAGCATTTTTTTTATCCCCTTCAGATCAAAACATCGGAATGTTATTCCAAACATTTGGTATGTGGATTCTGTCCGGGAAGATTGTCTGGGACATATCTTCTATACTATTTCACCTGGAGTAACCAGATTGAGTGTACAAGGACATCGGCAAAGTGCAAGAAGAAGGTCACTTTGACCTATGCTTTAACCTTTGACCTTAACTTTTGAAAAAGTTTGTCTGTGGCATATCTTCTATACTATTTCACCTGGAGTATCTAGATTTGGTGTACAATGACATCTTGGGATGGAGGAGAGCAAGAAGTAGGTCACTTTGACTTGACCTTTACTTATGAAAATGTTTGTCCGGGGTATATCTTCTATACTATTTCACCTGGAGTAACTAGATTTGGTGAACAAGGACATTTTGGGATGACAGAGCAAGAAGTAGGTCACTATGACCTCACTTTGACCTTTGATTCCTGACATAAGTGTACTGTTTGTTAAATATAGAAATCATTACCGGTGGGGACTATGGATTGCCTTGTCGGCAACAGAGATCGAGAGAACATTATTCATTTTGGCTGTGGTTCATCAAAAATCGGGGTCACTGCAACTAAATAAAATGGCCATTGAAGTCTAATGGTGCTCAAGAGGATATGGTGTCTCTTACAATTCTTAATTATTTCGCGTCAAAATCATTTCAGCTCGGTTTTACACACCTTCATTAAGTTTTCCAATAGGAAAGCATAATAAAGGTTAGAAAATTTCATGAAAAGAAGAGTACTTTCTGAGCTTAATTTATACTTTCATATAAAAAACATCTTAAAGAATTTTTGAAACATTCACAAAACTAAGGCCTGGGCCCCATATTCATGAAACCATTTTCAGGCTCATGCCAACTTCCTAGTTACTCAGTAAAGTCTGGTGTGAAACCCAAAAGGTACAGTCTAGAGATTTAAAACCGAAATTAGCCACAAATATGCTGAAAGTTCCTAAAAGAAATTTACTACCAGAGCAACAAAATACAGAATCTAAGCGTGAGAATGTTGACACAAAGAGGAGCTCGACAAATTAGCTAATATCATGTTGTGTTGCTGCAGTTTGTTATTTCTATTGCTCAAGTAATTCTTGTCAGTGGTTTGTCATCACCAGTTTGTAGTTATACCCCCTGCAACAAAGTTGGGGGAGGGGGGGTAACTGGAATCACCCTGTCTACCTATCTGGATGTCTGTTGTCCGCAGTAACTTGTCTTGAAAACTCCACCTTAACTAACCGGCAGATTTTATTGAAACTTCACTTGAATGATCAGTATATAATGGAGTTGGGCACCAGCATTTTAATTTAAGATCATCACTTTTTAACAGAGTTACTGTCCTTTATGCGAAATAAATTGTCCGAAAAACTCTGTCTTAACTCACAGGCAGATTTTATTGAAACTTTGCTTGAAGGATAAGTGTTTTACATGTAGGTAGTTGTGCACCGCCATTTTATTTTTTGTTTTCAACACTTCATGATATAGTTATGCCCCTTTGTGCTAAAGCTTGTCTGCACAACTCCTCTTTAATTAACAGGTGGATTTCATTGAAAGTTTGCATTGATGATCACCATCTAATGCACTTGGGCAATGGAATTTTAAGTTCTCAAAGTCAAATATATATATATATGTAATTTAAGTTTTTTATACACCCGTTTTTGATGGGACGTATTATGGTATGGCGGTGTCTGTCTATCTGTCAACGTTTGCTTGTCATGGCTCTACCGACTTTAATTTTGTATTATATTGATGAAACTTTGCCTATATGTAATGAGCCAAAATATCTTGAAGGAGTTCCCGTTTCAGTAAGTTAAAATTGACCCCAAGGTCAAGGTCACTAAATGATGTATAAACTACCATCATTTGCGGGGGGTATTAGTTATTCTCCGGTTGACAGTTCTAGTTGGTCCTAAACTGAAGTCGTTGAGTGGTCTAATATCAAAAAATTCACATTAATATTTTCGTGTTCCAAAATGTATTGTTTTTCGTCAATTAGTCAACCCAGGTATGTCGTTGGTTGATAATCAAGAAGCACCAATGAGTCCTTAAGAATTTCAAATTCAATTCTATTTATGGCTAGGTTAAGAAAGACAGTTTTACACAAATTTCCAAAATGGCTGGAAATTTTAATAATAATACTAACAATGACATATCTTTGTCTGAGATTTATTTCTTGGTAATACAACATCACCAGATCCTCATGTTCTGATCTCTACTCAAAAAAATAATTGCACACAACTGAGGCTACAACAATGCTGTCCATAGACCAGAACATAATATACACCAGGGAACACAAGGTACGTACGTAACATTGTATATACATGTATTGATATTACACAATGTACACATTACATTGTTAAACTCATTCACCCCTACATATTTAAACTGAACTTGCCCTGTCTTTGATTTGGTAAGGTTCAAATGTGACTTCAGGGGCGAATAAGTAAATAGAGTACCGGGTCTACATATACATGTATTAAAAATCAATCAAGTATTAAATGGAATGGTAAAGAACATCATAAAATCTTATCTGGACAGACTTTCAGGATGAAATTTTAATGTAAATAATTAATTTTAGCCAACAAAGGTTCTTTACAGTTCTTTAAATAACCTTTTTATATTGGGCCAAAAATTATTGAAAAGTGCAACCATTCTATTAATAAATCTTTGATTTGCATTAATCCTGAACAGCTAGTTATGCATCGGATTATGTTTGTGACTGAAAATTTCATCCGTTAGACTGAAAGCTACAGGACACATTCCTGTTTCATCACTATTGAATAACAAATATCAACATCAGATGGAGAATCTATTGTTTTTCATATGGATAATTTCAAATTTACTAAAAAGGAACACAAACATTTTCAGAAATGTACGTTTGAAAAACAAAGTCCAGAGATTTGAAAAAAAATATAAATGCATTAAAAAGAATTCGAGATTGCAACAAAAATTACCCAAGTATATAAAACAGTATACCATAAACCAACAGTAAAATAAAATGTGTAAATGCACAAATATTGACTAGACTAAAACATGAGATCATTAAGCATTAACTAAATAACTAACACCAGGCAGAATGAACATGTTCACCTGGTATTGTCAAACAATTTACATAGGGTAAACGTCTTCGTGAATGGGAAAATAATAAAACCTTTTAAGAATTTTTTTTTCACAAAATAGATGTTCTGTTCAACATCAACAATTAATGACTGTTTTTTATTTTATTTAACAGTATAAGCAGAATTTCATGTCAATGAAAATATTTGTGGAAAAAAGGAAAAAAGAAAATGCACACACAAAAAAGTCCAGCAGAACCTGTTATCTATTTGTTCACACTGTAAGCACAATACACTAGAGAAAGCTATAGAAAGCCACTGCACAAGCTATCAATGCAAAAAAAAGTGCCACTGTACAAGTTATCAATGCAAAAAAAGTGTTCCTATTCAGAGATGTTTTTCAAAATGGAGTATTATTTTCCCTTCATTATAAAGTTTAGAGTTAGAGTTACTTCCCTTGTCAATATATATTCCTCTTTCATTTTGATGCTCTGTAATGGTAATTCTGTGATAATCTTTTTTTTTTTTTAATATTCAAAAAGCACAGCAAATCGGGATTTATATGGAAATCTTCTACAGAAAATGACTAGAATTCAATAATTCTATAGAAGTAACAATGGTAGTATTATATATCAACCTCATGGTACCTTACACCTTATTTATACTCTGTAATAGTAAGTCAATTGTTGATCATATATTACTCACAAGCATCATCAGGTATTTCAGTAAAACATGCTTGTGTGTACACACTTATTGTAAATATTCTTGTTTATGACTAAGACAATCTTCCCCTGGCAAGCTATTTGTGCCTATAGGCCTATAACAAACTACAAATGTACATGCAATTAATTTCTAAGGTCTCCCTGGGTCTGTTATATCAGTGTTTATAACTTTACCTCCACACAATGTCATGCTCTGTCTCATATCCTTGTTCTAATGATATACCACAGGTTTACCAGCACATCTTAAGTGTTTATCTCACATCAGATTTTATATAAAGCAAAACTGAAATTGGTTACAAGTAAACTGGCATTTCTCATGAATCAAAATACGGCCGCTCATGAGGTGTGTACCGCGTAAGTAAAATTTACCCCATTCATACTTGCCTTTACATTGGAAAAATTCAGATGCAATCCCTATAATAAATTCAATTCCTCCAAACAATTACACATGGCCAGAAACACATACACTTGTATCACAACAAAATCAATTTAGCAATTTTTTGGAACAAGCAACACAGCTAGATCTCAGCACAACTAAATGCACAATAACACTGTTCATATTTTTTTTTCTTCAGTTTTTGACAAATGTTCAAATTTATCTCTCATTTTTGTACAAGACACATTAAAATTTGTTTTAAAAATGTGTTTTAATATTCATCTTTTGTGTGTAAGTGAAAGTCGCAATAAATAGAGGTTTATTTATCTCTGCAGAACTCTTTTGTACAGGAGGTGTATATAGTGAGGTAGCATAATCCTTAATGTATATTTATGTTACTGGAACATGTACTTGTATCTCTATGTATAATCTTATCAACTAGTGAACAAAAATAAAGCGTAATGTAAACTAAATATCTCTGACATATGATTAGCAAGGCTGATTACGGGACTACTAACTAAGCAAAAGTGATAAGGGGACTAATGGAAGCTAAACCGGTGTTGGGGGAGCTGTCGATTAAACAAGAAGCGACATTGACAAATACATTATATATACTCACAAGTTACTACAGTTTGACACAATTGATTTGATTTTGCAACAGTAATTTAAGGTTTTTTTTATGATTTTCTCCAGCTTTCACTGACTGGTCTTTTTAGCTGTAGTAATCATAAAAAAATGGTTTGTCTGTCTAACCTCTAGGATGGAGACGAGCCACCCAGGCTCGTGACATCACGATACACAGTTTAATGATGTCATATCTTTTACAGTAAGATTACATCAACTTGGCAGTTAGGGTAGAAAGTATAATTTTTTATCGAAACATCCTTCCTAGAGGTGAAAGAAACAACAATCCTTCTATTTTGAAGGGTACGAAAAAGAAAAGAAATTTTTTCTTGCTCTTTTTAAAAGAAAACAGTAAATTCCCTCTAGTGTACACAAATTCTTACACATGAAAAATCAAGACATGTACAATGCAATGCTGTCTAATGTCATGAGGTAAAGTTCATAGGTCAGAGTTCAAAGTTCATCCAAAATTTCCACATGGTAATCATTCCTGTACTTTATCAAAATATCAATACATTGTATTTCAATCAACATTTGTTGATTTGGATATTGTCATCACTATGAACATTTAAAATTTCTGTCAAAAAATAATTTTGATATTTTTTTAAAAAGTGGTTTCCCAGCATTTCAAAAGCAGTTGTTATTTATTATTCTTACATTCATTATTGCTGTCTGCCACAGTGACCTTGAAACTGTATTGAAAGAGGATCAGAGATACTGATACAAAGAATTACAGTTGATGTGGAACACAGATCTATCAACATAAGTGATGCTGATGACATAATGGTCCATTATGATTTTTCTTCCCGCACCCATTTTCACATCTTGGCAACACCACACCTAAGAACAGACTGTACCCTTCACTTACAATGCAGGAGGTACCACATGGTAGTGACATATTTTTGAGAATATATTTTATTTATTTTTATTTTGAGAAATTTTTCTCATGATAAATGCTAAAATAATATTTTTACATATGTTATATCTTACTCATAATGTCCAAGAATTTTCACAGTTTGAAGTATAGATACATAGTGTATATATGTCACCAGGAATCTAATGGTAACCATAGTGACGGCTATCTAACCATTCCTCTAAATCAAATAGACCAGTACTGCTCATCATCATCACAAATAACCACTGCTAGAGAGTTGTGGGCCCATTAGTCCAGAATCTGTCGGTGCACTGACTGTCAACGTAACATACTGTCTTTTTTACTTACAGTAAAGCACTTGATATTATAGTGACTATCAATGTTTCATTGAGGTCCCAACTCGCAGCACCATAAAGTTAATTTTCTATACCTGGTACTTAGATACAGTAAGATACAAGGGTCATATTCACGGCACTTTAAAGTTCATTCAATCCAAGTTTTCTTTTACTTGGTGGCATAGAATGCAAGGGGCATATTGATTTCAGATCGTACAGTGATAGAGGCTAGTTTTTATTTATAAAGTTTGTCTCGTAGTTAAGTTCCACAGATTGTACACATCCTTAATAACAGTATAGAACCTTGTCTCAGCAGTAGGTACTACACTGGCCACTTCTCCTTCTGTCTGCACGACTCACTTTTGTTCAACACCAGAACATGTCACAAGTTCAAGATCCCAAACAAGTATTTATTACAAATGACACCTTACAATTGCAAATGTCAAGTCCCATTACTAGATTGAGTCTTCAGGCTGTCCAAGGTCAAGGTCACAAGAACACCGTCTTCGTGTACGAGTCCAACCGCATGGTGTCATGGTTCGGTTTGTATCTTCCTGTTAATGTCATGAACAATTTACGTTTTAGTCTTTAGTTCCTGCTAATTAAGGTGAATCTGATGTCGATCATAAGAAAGAGCTGGACTTGGATTTCCTCATTTTGATCTGTTTTGTCAGTTTGTCCACAATTATCTCCTTTTCCGATTGTTCTTTGATTCGCTTCGTCATCTGTGAGCCGAGCAGTTCCTCCATATCCACCTGTCAAACATCAAGCCAACATGCGAGTCTTCTCAAACCAAATATTAATAACTTTCACAAGAGTGAACAATTCAACTTTTATTTTTAACGACAAAATCTTATTGATAACGGTTTTAAAATGATCCTGAGGATAAGAAACACTACTTAAATACTTTGACACGTTCTGGATAATTTTACAATATTTGGGTATGACCGATTCCTCTGTTCAATTCCCTCTCAACCTTTTGAGGGGGAAAATAAAAAGCTTGGCCCTTTCTTAAATATATAGATTTTAATGCTAATCTATTCATTATCTTTTTTAAAGAAATGTTTGTCAAAATCAACCGTACGTTTTATAGTAGATGTCATCTGAAGGTTTTTTTCACACTGTGACTCCCTATAATACAGCCCTGCCCATCAGTCCCCTGAGGGTCAACCCCCTTTTGAGTGAAGATTTTAATTCTCATTATTTAAGAATCATTGTCAAGAAAGGTTGGTCAATAAATCCAAAAATAACTTTCAGAGGAGATGTAATTTGAAGGTTTGTACTATGGTACCCTTTATAACCCCACCCCTCAAATGACCCCACCCCTCAAATGACCCCACCCCTCAACCACTTCTGAAGTATGGGTACTATCCCAATCATACATCAGCCCCCGAATTAATAAGAAAAAATAAACTCTAACAATTTCGATCACTTGTATGTCTGATTCTAGATTTCAAACTAGGGGGAGATAAGCTAGCAGTAAAAATGCTACTGGTAAATTCACCAAGAAACTTTGGGGCTGGTAGCCAGTCTATCCTGATCATTGCGTCGTTTTCTCAAAAATTGATGACGTTACTCTCACAAACAAATGGCGTAACAATCAATACCTACTCACAAGAGAAGATAACTCTGCAATATGAAAAGACGGAATATACAACATACTGTTTACTACAGTTAACTTATGCAATCCACATGGTTAACTTTTTTTCTTTCAACAAAATCATGCAGACAAAAAGCATCTATATAATAGTACAATTTAACACTTGAGTCACAACAAAAACAGGAAAAAGATTTACAAGTCCTTCACCTGTAAATGGGTACAATATTACCTATTTATACCTTTATTTGATTCAGGGATCAGTTAGGGTAGGTTAGGATAAAATCAAGTGAACATCTGAACATCCAACCACATGTCACTGTGCCAAGTTTGCATGGTGCTCTTAGAATTAAGACATTTTTTTCGTAAGTCATGCTCAAAACAAAATTGTTTTTGTTAGTCATGCTCAAAACAAACATTTTCAATCATGGCAGTAAAAGGTATATGAAATATAGATCACAGCGAGCTACTTTTTTTTCAATCTTATAGCACTTACCAGTGTGTTTTTTAATAAGTATTCCTACATTATTTTAGCCAATCAGAAGCCTTGGGGTGGGTATCTTGGATTTCGAATCAAACCAGCAACACTTAATCAGGACCAAACGCATACTAACATACAACACTCAAGCTTAAGTAGATCATGCACATGTTGACTGTACAGACAGCCAGGCAAACTAACATCCTGTACCAGTAAGGCCCTGTTCTTTGTTATATAATGTAAAACGTTAACTTATATAAATTATTACAATTTTTACCACACAAAAGAAAACTTTTCTGACAACATTCAGAAAACAACTTCACATTAGGAATATTGATTAAAACAATTGACCCCATTAATCAACAGTGAAGTAAATTGGGAAAATGGTAAATTATCCAATGGCATCTAGTTGGTGAGGATGAATTATGACAAACAACCTTATACTTTAGTTAATAACTTGGATTGGATGACCTAACCAGGTAACATAAAATATGTACCATATAATATCAAAGAATGTCTTTAAACCTTACCATCTAATATGAAATACAACAAACATGAATGCGTAATTACGTAATATTTGCAGTAGTAATAATGCCGACTACACAGTACCTACACTCTGTAGCATGCTCATGCACTGTCAGAGATCAATGAAGGACAGGCAGAACAACTTAAAACAAATAATCTTAAAAAGAGGGATAACCTAGAATGAAATAAATATGAAAATCACCACCATTTAGTTACTAATTAAAGAAAAAAAGCAAGTATTAATATGATGGGTTTATTCTCACCCGTCCTTCAGGCCCCTGTGAAGAAACATTAGGAAATAGGCTAAAATATATCAATTACGTCATTAAAATCTATACTTCATTGGCATTTCTGAGTGTTCACATTTACAACATCAACCGTCATATATTTAGACCCCTACGATGATGGGAAACCTGCCATTGGTCAAACTTTGAGACAGGACAACTTACCTGCCATTGGTCAAGCTTTGAGACAGGACTATATCTTCCCTGCCATTGGTAAAGCTTTGAAACAGGACTACAACTTTCCTGCCATTGGTCAAGCTTTGAGATAGGACAACAACTTGGTAAAGCTTTGAGACAGGACTTTATCTTCCCTGCCATTGGTAAAGCTTTGAAACAGGACTACAACTCCCCTGCCATTGGTCAAGCTTTGAGACAGGATTATATCTTACCTGCCATTGGTCAACCTTTGAGACAGGACACCTTACCTGCCATTGGTCAAGCTTTGAAACAGGACTACAACTTACCTGCCATTGGTCAAGCTTTGAGACAGGACTATATCTTACCTGCCATTGGTCAAGCTTTGAGATAGGACAACAACTTGGTAAAGCTTTGAGACAGGACCAGAACTTACCTGCCATTGGTAAAGCCTTGAGACAGGACTATATCTTACCTGCCATTGGTCAAGCTTTGAAACAGGACTACAACTTACCTGCCATTGGTAAAGCTTTGAGACAGGACCACAACTTACCTGCCATTGATCAAGCTTTGAGACAGGACTACATCTTACCTGCCATTGGTCAAGCTTTGAGACAGGACCACAACTTACCTGCCATTGGTCAAGCTTTGAGACAGGACTACATCTTACCTGCCATTGGTCAAGCTTTGAGATAGGACAACAACTTGGTAAAGCTTTGAGACAGGACCACAACTTACCTGCTATTGATCAAGCTTTGAGACAGGACTACATCTTACCTGCCATTGGTCAAACTTTGAAACAAGACCACAACTTACCTGCCATTAGTCAAGCTTTGAGACAAGACCACAACTTACCTGCCATTGGTCAAGCTTTGAGATAGGACCACAACTTACCTGCCATTGGTCAAGCTGCTGCGACACTGCCACTTTTTGTTGAATCGTCTCCATTAGTTGACTGTTGAGACTGAGCAGGTCTAGCTTAGCTTTGGCCAACTCTATCTCCATCTTATTTTGTCTACAAGAAATGAAAACAAATCTCTTTGTACATAAAAAGTCATTATCATAAAATAACTTTTTTTGTGGTTCTGTTTTGGTACATTTGGCACTTGGACCGTGAAAGTGCCAAATTTAACACACTGATATATAACCAGGTTTTGAATTTACCATTGCAATATCTGGTTTCCAGATGCTATTTTCCTATTCCATTAATACGTGTACATAATTATAAGGATGTACACAGCACTTCCTTTTTTACCTCTATCTGGTGTTAGACTGATTTCAGTAAACTCTCTTCTAATTTCATTAGACAGGTTATCAAAAATGATGTATTTAGCTTACAATAACAGACGATTTCCAAAAGACGGAAAATATAAAACACCTTTAAAGGAAATTCTCTTAGATTATTTCATGACGCATGTAAAATAGTACACATCATTCATTCTAAATTACTTTATAATGTCTTACTTTTCAATGGCCTCATCTCGGTCCCTCCGAGCCTGCTCAATGACTTCATCCCTGGTCATTATACAACCGGACATGTTCTGTGTCTGATCCCGGTGTGACTGTATCCGTGACATTTCATCATGTTGCATTGTCAACTACAATGTACATCACACTGATGTATTACTACAATGTACATCACACGGATGTATTACTACAATGTACATCACACTGATGTATTACTGCAATGTACATCACACTGATGTACTACTGCAATGTACATCACACTTATATATTACTGCAATGTACATCACACTGATGTATTACTACAATGTACATTTCACTGATTAGTGAATCATTAACTCAAATCAGCTGTAATTTATATATTTAGGTATGTACAGGTTACACCATTTTAAGTAGGCTTTAGCATTAAAGCTTCATGATAGCCTCTCATTTCTGTATTTGTTAATTCATTTATTCAGATCGGTGATAATAAAGTCAATGTCAAATAAATTACAAGCAAAATTGCACTTTGATAATATGACTGACATGTACAGCAACATAAACTTAAACAATCAACATGTTAATACAGGGGTACCAACAAACCCCGGCAGGTCACATTAATACACACATTCTAAGGCTGTCAGCTTGTCAAAGAAAATGGTTCTGAAGACAGGAAACCAACTACTAAGACCAATAAGCACATAATAAGTCTTTGAAATGTAAATCATTCATAAGATAAACCACCCTTACTGAGTCACACTCACTAAATGAAATAGCTGAACCTCGTTTGAAGTAGCCACTCATTTTTTAAGATCCTACATGTGTGTGACACTGTGGACATTAAGGGACATGTCACTTTTATAATTTCAAGTTCAGCACCAAGAAATCTCGTAACAACAGGTACCATCCCCTCAAGGTATACATAAGCATCTTTTCACCATCTCTTAATATTGGAAAGCTTCAGTATCCTTATCACCGAGGTGTAAATAACAATTAAAGGCATCAATCTCGGCTGGTGTCACAATTGCTGAATAGGCATCAAGACTGGCCATCACATTGAAAGATTCAGTTTTTAATGTATTTATGAAATTTCAGGTAAAGAAATTAGCTCACCTCTAAAATTGATACCTGTAGCATCATCGGGTGAAGGCAGCAGGGAAAGAAATGAAAGCAACATCATATATATTATACAGGAGTTTACTCCACAGTCCAGCATATCTATTCATACTATACCACAGTCTATCATATACAGGGGTGGGTCCAGGTGAGGGCGTAATGGGCGTACGCCCCCCCCCCCCCCCTTTTAAAAAAAAAACCCATTACATCGGTGCATTTCACAATTATTTTATGCTTTTTAGCAAAAAACAGGTCCAAAAAATTGTTCGCCCCGCTCAGCTCGGCGAGAGATTTGACTCTTTCAAATATCCTAGAAACGCCCCTGATATATACTATACCACAGTCCAGCATATCTATTCTACTATACCAACACTAGTCTAGTATATACATTTATACTATACCACAGTCTAGCATATATACTACACACAGTCTAGTATATATATATATACTATACCAACAGTCTAGCATATCTTTTCATACTATACCACAGCCTAACATATCTATTCAGCATATATATTCATATTGTATCACAGCCTAACATATCTATTCAGCATATATATTCATATTATACCACAGCCTAACATACCGGTATCTATTCATACTATATACCACAGTCTAGTATATATACTTTACCACAGTCTAACATATATATTTATACTATACCACAGTACTATACCACAGTCTAGTATATATACTTTACCACAGTCTAACATACATGTATATATTTATACTATACCACAGTCTAGTATATATACTATATCACCTTCTAGTATATATACTTTACCACAGTCTAACATACATGTATATATTCATACTATACCACAGTCTAGTATATATACTTTACCACAGTCTAACATATATATATTAACATTATACCACAGTCTAGCATATCTTTTTTTATCACATACCTGTTGAGTCTTGTGATAGTAATACAAGCAATTTTCAGACCATGAAATACAACGTTCTGTATTGGACATGTGGGCAATACCGAATGTTTTATTTACCTACTAGCCGGAACTACTTTTTATGGGAATCCCCCTTGTCATGGTGAACTGAAAAGTTCTCGTTAATTGCAAAAACTATCAAAGTTTATAAAAGGTTTGTGATAAAAGCTCTGCGCATTCGTGAATATATTGTCCGCGCAATAAACTCGTGCTTTCCGATTTGTTAGAAAAACACAAGTGTGTGGTCTTACATATATACTATACCACAGTCTAGTATATCTATTTATCCTATACCAACGTGTAGTCTATCTATTTATATAAAAGATTGCATGTCATGGACTAACAAAGGTACATAATTATGTAGGATTTTACATTGCTGACTTACCATATTATTATGTAGCGCAACTGTACTGGGTCCTATTTCAATTATAGATATGAACATTTGGAATAGTTTTTGAAATTATCTAGAAATCTGTGATCAAAGCTTTCTTTTCTACATATTTCTTAGCTAGTTATACCTGAACACACAAAAAAACTAGACACACCATATACCAGTGGATACAACATCTATAGGCGGAAGATTGAGTACCTTTACCTTGTTGGTAAGCTGTCCTAGCTCCTGACTCTTTGTGTCCAGCTGGTGGTCCCGTTCCTTTAGCTCCATCTTGACTCGGTCAAGGTCACCTTGGGCCTCACCCAGCTCAAACTTGAGGTCCCCAATGTGTTTCTGTAGCTCTGATAATGAGATATCATCTTCGTCCTCTGCTAAGTTAGCCTGGGATGCGGCAGAGAACTGAAGAGACAACATTATTGTCTACAATTTCATATTTTCTCATGCAATTGTAATGAAAACCTATAATGACTTAAAAAGGAATCTAAAATTAGCACATAAGGAATCCCCCGAATGATCAGTGATCCAGAGTGATCTAAAAATAGCACACAAGGAATCCCCTGCATGATCAGTGATCAAGAGAGGAATCCAAAAATAGCTCATAGAGAATCCACTGACTGTTCCCTTAATTTAAATGATGTAAAAATGTGGGAAGTATTTCCATGCACAAAAGTTAATTAGGACATGTACACTCACCATGACTTTGCGTGGCACCATGTCCTGCATTAGATCCCTTAGATTCTGTAAAACACCTGTCAATTTTCCAGGCTGAAGGCTTTCCTCTTCTACGATTGAGTTTCGACCCCGTGGGACCATTGGGCTGAAGTCATAGCACATCTGTCTTAACTGCTGGTAGGACTGCACCAGCTCATCTTGTAGCTGTAAAACACAGACCTTGTATTGGTAGGGAAACATTGGTTATAAAAAATCTTCGATCGATCTTAACCATTTCCATGCATTTAAACTTAAAATCATATTTTACACCGTTATCAACAGAAACATATTATTGCACATGATGAATATTACTCATTTTCACTGTTCTACATTTACATGAAAAATATTTTCAAATTCAAAATTCAGATATTTGTTTAAATGTTTTGATAGAGAAACAATGTATTGATAAAAGAATAGCAGTTCATAAGGAATGGAATAAAATAAAAACAGTCAAAGGATTACAAAAATTAAAATTAAAAAAGGCAAGTACGTTATGTGTAACCTTGAGTAAAGCCTGGAACTGTGCATGTGTCTGTAAGGATAATAAATCATAGATAAGTGTCAGAAAACATACAATATACTGGTAACATACAATATACTGGTACATACACACTCGGTCAACAACACAACATACAGTCCTAGGCCTACTGTCCTATACACAAAAGAGCCAAGTAAAAGTTTCACTAACACAGAAAAACAAACACAATTGTAATATGAGGAAGTCAAGCTCACAAAGAAATATCACCAACCAAAGCTCGGGACTCTTAGTAATGTGGAAAGTCATGTAAGCTCAAATTGAATTTTAGTAAAATCAAATTTATGCTATCAACATTATTTTCTCATTCCTTAAAGTTGAAAACAATATAAACATGTACCTGTACTCAAAATCATAATTATCACTTTTACTTAGAAATAGAAAGATTTTTTTTTTCAAAACCAGCAATTGGAAAACAAGACTTAACAAGACTTATTTTTATTCTTTCACATTTGGCAGATAAAACAATGACACCAATAAGTTAACTAGAGAAGTAAATAAACACACAGAAAGTTATACAATATAAACATTGATTGCCCTGACCTCCGAGTCAACATCCATGACACCAGAGGAGCTCTGGAAGTGTGACAGGAACGCAGAGTCTGACAACATGGTGGAGGCGAATTGGGATGAATCAGCACCACGAAAACCAACACAGATATCTTCGTCATCACATTCAAAGTCGTCTTCCTCCATCATTTGTGACAGTGACATCGGGCGGAGGCTGCAACTGTCATCACCATCCATCATCTGACAGAAAAATAATTGTTCATTTATGTGTAATAAAAATCCATACAATAATTTCATCAGCGATATCACCAAATCCATACATGTAACCGTACACACAGTTTACTTTAACAATTTTTTCCTTTCTACCTTTAAGAACAAGTCGATTCTGATTGACTGACACTGAAGTACCAGAGTTCTCATTAAAAGCTGGAGGCTGCCATATAGCACATGAACATTCAGGTTGACTATTCTTTCCAAGTCAACCTCCTGTTTCAAAACTTAGGAAGAAAACCGAGAACCTATGTAATTATACCAAAACAAGGAGGGAGAATCAACATTAACCCTTTCACCCTAGGTAACTTTACTAGACTCTACCATACATTGATCTGGATGAGTCTATTATGGTCTACAGTGGTAAAAGGGTTAACTTTGAGGTCAATGCTGTTGGGTATAGATGGACCTCCTAGGGTCAACTAGAAGTTTATTAAAGGATTCACCTTGTTTAGAGAAAGAATGCGACAAATCTGGTGTACCCAAGTTAAAATTAGTATGTTATGTGGTCCCGAGTTGTTTATCCTGTACCATTTATCAAATTCAAAAGTATAATATTTCACAGCTACCGTATACATGGATGGTAGGGACAAAATATAGGTACCTACCATGTTAGCGACAGGTACATGTTTGGAGGCACCCGACAGCTCTTCAAACAGTGATGTAGAGTGGCCATTACCATTAGAATGACCATTACCGTTGTGATGTGGAACTATTTCTGACATTTCATTGAACAAAGATTGGGAGTGAGCCGATTCCTGGTCAGCCAGTTCAGCATGGAGCACTTGTCCACTGCCGCGGGACATATTCTGACTGGCCATGGTGTGAAGCTGAGTCTCCAACTGTAGGTTCGTCTCCTGTAGCTCTATCAGGTCTCTCTGCTGGTGCTGGATCTATAGTGAGAAACAGAATCAATGACTTTTATGATGTGTATTATTAATCTATGCAGATATTGGGTCTATAGTGAGAAACAGAATCAATGACTTTTATGATGTGTTTTATTAATCTCTCCAGGTATTGGGTCTTCAGTGAGACACAGAATCAATAACTATAATAATAATAATAATTCTATTGAATGGTGAATAGGATTAAAATTTACACAAATTGCAAATTAAATATATACAGTTAAATACAGAATATGTTTTAAATTCTTCACATAGGTTTTCCAAATGGATTTAACTGGATACCCCCTAACCCCAATCCCCACCCTCCATCCTCTTCACCCCTGCCCAGGTCCCATTATGGGTCATCATTATAGGTGAAAATAATTAATGGTAGAAGAAATAAGATGAATATAGTAAAAGTATCATGATGACTGACAATTTCAAGACCATGTTTTTCCTCTCACCTCATATTCAGATGGAGTACAAGAAGTACGAACGAACATTACTATAAAAGCTCTTCTATAATCACATCAAATAGTGTGTTAACGGACTGCAAGCTTTAACTGACTGAGACACGCCTCAGTATATATAGATCAAGGTGACAACAGGAGACAATAGATGATGTACCGGTAGTACAGTAAGTCGGACTGAACGGCCGTGTTACCTGTTTCTCTTTCTCCCTGTTCTGTTTCTCTAGTGTCATTATTTTCTCCACAGAGTCCTCGTGTCGTCCCTTCATGGCCTCCTTCTCCTCGGACAACACAGCAATCCTTCTCTCCAAGTCTGCCTTCCTCTGGTTCAATACAGCTATCTGAAAAACAGAAATTTCGGGTTCAAGATTTCAGCTGGCAAATATTTACAATCTCAATTCCATTTTATCAATAGAAGGTTGTAATAAGTACAAACTCAATCCTGATTTTTTAATATCTTTTATACCACACTCTTTTGAACTTAGCAGTTTTTCATGCATCCTCGATACTCCAGGGGTTACACCATCCTCGATACTCCAGGGGTTACACCATCCTCGATACTCCAGGGGTTACACTCACTTTTGCTACCTGCACCCCTAGAATATGTCATGACAAAACTGAAGGCTCAGTGTGCATCACCTTGTGGATGAGACAAGAAGACTAGTTTGATCCTTTGAAGTAGATTAAAAGAATCTCTTGGTCGCCTAACAGTAAAATTTACTTTTTTTACTCAAGACCAATCAAAAAGCTAGTCGCGTTCCTTCAATTTTGCTATGACATATTCCAGGGGTGCAGACAGCTTTACTGCAGTTACAAATTAAGTTAGAATACATAAAAACATGTCAAACTTATTATTTTGAGTGTCATTCAGAAAGAAGTACTGGCAATAAGAATGGAAATGATGCATATATACAAAGCAGGTGTGGCGTGGTCTCTATAGATATGGATCAGAGTGGGATTTAGTATATGATATTTTGTTTGATCTTTAGAGCTGTTGACCTGTGTGCACTATATGATATACTGTCAAGTCAAAATAATTATATATCTACCAAGATTCATTAACAAATGTTCATGCAACAATTTGAAAGTTTCCTGTATAATACAAACCTCTTCTTGCAAAAGCTCAAGTTGACCAAGGTGGATATGCATGGATGACTTTCGTGACATGACTTGCTCACGGAGACCTTGAACTTCTAATGCAAGTTCATTTTCACGGAAGATTGCCCTCTGAACATCCTCCTTCAGACGTTCATTTTGAAGAGTGATATCCTTTATCATGTGGCATTTCTCTTTGTCGTCAGAGCTGCTCTGATACATCTGTGACTGAAATTCGTGTCGGATCTGATCAATGTCATACTGAAGCTCTTTTATCTTGTTCTCATATTCTGCTTCCGTCTTTTCTAACTTTAAATGTAATTCATATTTCTCTTGCTCAAGTTCCTGAAACAAATAAAACACCATAGTATTAAAAACTATTTAATATAACATTCATTTAGTATTTTCTCCCTAAACTGCCCTAAATTGAAGACCACTTCCCCCTTACATTTGAAAAAAGACATTTTGACAGCAGAACATTATTATTATTATTATCAGTGCTTAACAGCCCATCAACACAGTATAGGTCATTAAGGCCAACAAATGGTCGACAAAAACAAATGTTAAATCAAATTTTAAAGGTGTGAAAAGAAGAAAGAAAAAAGAGGAAGAAACTAAGAGAGAAAGGCAGAAACAATATCTACACTACATATACATGGGACTCGTGAGAATTTACTATGGCCCGACCATTCCAGAGGAATGCACAAAGGGCTGGCCCGAAGGCAGACACCTGTATACCGAACACCCAGGAAGGAATGCACAACGGTGCAAACCTAGCACTTGCGTCATGGCCAGAGGACGGTGCTGCTTAGTGTGACCTCTACCTTTCAACCTGTCTGGCTTGGGTGACCCTACCAGGAGCACAAAGCCCCAACCAGCATAGCTATCCAGGTCACTGAGGTACTCAATCCCCCCACCACGGAAAGATGCAGCAACTAGGGGGACAGCAGAACGGCTTGATGGTAGTGGATCAATGGCATTTTATAGAAAGCCATTTGCAGAACACAATTCAGTCTCGGCCATATCTGTTTTAAATCACTTGGTATGTGTTTCAAACACTCCTCTTCTCTAACCTGGCCCATCAGCATAGATCTGCCATGGTGATGAGTTACTAGGTTTAATGACAATGCCAAGCTAACTAGCTTCATTTACTACTAGATAATGCACCAGACAACTTTGGAAAGGTGCCTGGCTTATATTTTCTTTTCTAAAGGCCCATTGAACAAGAATAGAGTCAACAGACTCACCTCCAATCAAATGTTACACAAATTCTTAGTTTTATAGGACCAGTATAGGCCGAGGACCGGAATGTCTACTCAACAGTCTCAAGATAGTCATAAAGCTAAATTTCTACATGCTTGAAAATATATTTTCTACCTATATAATCAGAGCATTAAGAAATTTTCAGGTAGAATGTTTTAGACTCCTATTTGACGTATAGATCTGGATCTGTAGACATTATTGGACATGTGTCCCTGGGGTAGTCGGATAGCACAGTGGATAACACACTCGCCTTTCACCAAGGGGTCCTCGGTTTGATTCCCTGATTGGACATGAAAAGGTATGTCCGAGCACTTTCTCCAGGTACTCTGGTTACCTCCCACATTAAGACCCCCTGCATGCTAACATCCAGGCCAATAAGAGTGATTAATACAAGTTGAAATAACTCTGTTCATAAAATAAACAATTTTATATATTTGACATATGTTCAACTCTACCAAAATTCAGGAAAATTGCTATTTGACTTCCGAATTGGCTTAGTGTCAAGGGTCAACTAATAAAAGACCTGACATTTTACAGCCATCATGTTCTAATTTCCACCTAGAGACGTCAGGGTCTACATGCAGTGAATACAGACCATCATGTTCACTACAAATCTTTAATTGTTAGTGACCATTTTCTTTCCTAGATTTGACAGGAGATATCATTTTGGAGTCACATGTGATGTATGAGGATATGGTTTCCCTTCAGGAACACAGTTTTACCTTTACTTTTTTGTGGGGTGTAATGTCTTTCCCTTTGTAAATCTAGTGTTTTATTGACTCTGAGTTGGGGTCTTTCCCTTATGTATTATGATAAAGATGTGGTACAATTTTTGCCTTTTTAACTATAAACACACTTCCATTATTTGTGATGGTTTTCTAGTTTTGCTGGTGAAGAGATTAAAAAGTCAGGCCATTTGTTTGAATATCCTTCTTTATAGATTTCCCATCTGTGTTATTATCAAGTACAACAAAGGCCCAGCTACCCGGTATGCCAGTGAAAGCACAGGACTCAATGATAATGATTCATCAATCATTCTTTGTCCTCTGATAACCAAACATTTCCTTTCTCTACAGATCGCATATAGAACACATCTAGTTAAGGCCAAAAAAACAATTCTTGTGTTTCTGCTATCATCCTCAGAAAAAGTAGGCAATTTTTTGCATTTCTGAAAATATTTATACTACGCTTATATAGAGCATGTGTTTTAGCTTGAACAGTGCATATCATCACTATAAAAAGCTTAGGGTAGAAGGGGTAAGCAGAAACACAATTTGTTTTCTATTTGGCCTAAATTAATTTTCCTTTCATGATTCTTCACATATATATTATTTTATATAAAACGTTCACAGTTTCAATAATTGTTATTTTCTGTAGCTATTCAATTAACTATTTTTGTACACACATTGCATATATTTTTATGATCACTTGTGTATATTCATGGGAATACTGTTTTATCATAGGACATAACACATGCATAATGTATAAAATATAGCAAATTATAGTGCATATCTATTACATTGTTCATGATGAATGATTCTTATACAATCAGTTCCAGTACACTCTGCCGATTGAGCTATATAGCTGTAAAGATCTATAATATTTCTATTGACCTATCTGAAATAGGTCTTTTGAGCAATTTTCATGTGATTTTCTTTTTTCTTCAAGGAAAACGAAACAAAGTCGCTTTTAAAAGAAGATTTTATCATAAGGTTGATAACAAAAGACCTTAAATATAAGTATTCTTTTTAAAATATAATGACGTAAAAAAAAAGGAAAATTTAACATTTATGAAAAATGAAAATAAACATTGAAATGTATGCTTTTTGTAAACCCTATCGTTTTATGCGATTTTGCTTTAATTTAATGAAAATTGAAATCTGAGAAAATATAGCTCAATACAGCTATAATTTATAGGTGAATATATAGCTTTATAGGTCTTTATAGCTATATACCTCAATCGGCAGAGTGGACTGGACCTGTCCAATGTATGCACACAATAGAACTTATACTAGTAATTAATTTACAAACAAAGTAATGTCAACATTATATATCATTATAGTTATATATAATGGCAATTTAGCAGCTTTCTATACATATTGATGATCTGTTAATATTACAATCATGTTAACATCACAGAAGAGTTTATATTAACAACATTTATGCTGACAGTTTTTATATATAAATAAAATTCGATAAAAAAAACCTTACATGAATAGTAATTACAAACAAAATCTAAAATTTGGAAGATTTTTTTTTAGATTAAAATCCTGAAGTATTATATCTTTGATATAATATATATATGTTTTTACAAACGTTTAAATTTTTTAAGATTTCGTGACACGTAAAAAATACCAACAACAAAGAGACAGCATACGATATAACACTCCATCCTTTTACCTCTAGTTTTCTAGAGTATTCCTCGATTAACAGTTCATTACGTCTCTCTAGCTCAGCGTTTTTCTCCAATAAAGCTTTCCCTAGTTCCGCTGCAAGGGTAAGATCCCTTTCCTTCTGAGCCAGTTGTGTGTATACATCGTCCTCGGTAGGAGTTCCAACTGGACTCTCCCCCTCCTCTCGGTCCCCCATCGTCTGGGCGAGGCTGTAATAATCGTCTATATCAAACTGGGCGTGGGGTGAGGATGGGGACGATCCCCCACACTCCAGGCGACAGGCACACATGTCGAGTCCGAGCGAGATAACGGTTCTTCTCTGGCAATGCCAATCGCCATGTCTTGAAATGATGTCATTTCGGTCCACACCATATCATTAATAAATAATTCCGTCTGCCTGTGGCACCGAACACAGAGTGGATAACAACGAGATCGATGAACATATGATTATCGATACGGCGACATAGCCCTATTTCATCAGCTGTTACTCGTAAAGGCGGATATCACCAAAACATTGTGACGTGTAACTGATCTAGGTGAAATTTATCGTCATAATAACTGCTTTCTGTGCACCAAGCACGCGCGCGTTACCTGTAGAGCACACCTGTATGTGTACAAGGGGAGGTTATTCGAAAGTGTCGTCTGCTACCATAACTTGTCATCTCATTATCACGCAACCGTGCGGACAATTTATCTGTCACGTAATTCCATTTGTACATTTGATGAGACGTCATTAGTATTACGATGACTTGTTTAATAAAATTTGTATACATAGTGACTGGTTAGCATACATTTCAATTAACTATAGCCAGAGACGTATATATATATCCAGACAACCTAAACTTGTCCACACTGTTGGAATTACGTATTTGCCCCATATATAGCTAAACACCTGTCTAAATAACTTTGAAAGTAAAAATACCAAAAGTGAAATACACTTTGACATTTACTCTCTGAAACACAGTGTATTTTGTATAAACATGCATATGAATACCACTAAGAATGATTATGCAATGCAAACCAGACTTTCTTGATGTACTGGCCTTATTTGTGTTGTGTCTGGAGACTAGAAGACCAACTCACGGTCACTGATCACAAGTCCACAGGTTTATTTAAGCAATTAGATCATCAACTCTCGCGGACTACGAATATACTAAATACATTCAAAGCTTAAATAACAATACTGACTGCGAGAGATAGTGTCAGTAGATAAAATTTGATTCGCGAATGTTCTCCAAACTTCACAAGGTGCGTATAGCATGGATTTCTGGATAAAGTCACTGGGACCTGAGAATTTGTTACAGCTATATTTGGACCTAAACTAAGGTGTTCAGAGTAATTCTATTTGTTTTAGGGGTTTAGATTGACTTTCGGTAAAAATGACACCCAATGATCATATTTGAACACCTTAGTTTAGGTCCAAATATAGCTGTAACAATTTCTTAGGTCCCTGTGGATAAAGCAGCTGTAGAGATAATTTCGATCTGTGGTCACTGAGTGGTGGGTTCAATTCAATTCAAATTCAAATTAGTTGATTATAGCGTCACATGTAAAAGGTACAAGTATTACAATCTCGAAAATGTGTCTGCTCACCCACCCTTACATCCAGTCTAATATATTAGACTTACGAGACACTCACTCTTCCCCTATCACTCTAGACTGTAAACGTATTACATATATGTACATAATTATAAATCAAAAGCTAACAGTAGCATTTTAACATTATTGGAGTTATGCAATTGGCAAACGCGTATAAGACGTGTACTAATTTGGGCCTAGGATGTGAGATGTGAGTGAGTGAGAGTGGTTGGGCCATATTTTTCTTGTAAGTATTAAGATGTCTAATTATGACTTCAGGAAAGAAAATACTGCAGAGGTACCCAGGGTCAACACTGTGAAGTATGGACATTAATCGTTTGCTTTTGAGGCCGCCCGAGTGTGGAACAGTCTCACAAATGACTTCAGAAAAGTTGAAAACTTCAAAGAACTCAGGAGGCTGGTCCATTCCTGGGATGGTCCCATCTGCCTTTGCAATATCTGCAAAGAGTGATACTTCATGCTGTGCCCTGGTTACCTCTGCCACCTGACATTTTGGATTGTGATACTTTTATTGTCTTATCTCATTTCTTATTTGTTTTAATTCTATTCTATATTTTTGCTGCATCTTATTTGTATTTTAATTCCATATATTCTATTTATTTTTTTTACAAAACTTGATAAATTTTGTTAATTGATTTTGGTATCATTTTTAATTCATACTATAATAGTGTATATTCTGTCAATTTTTATTCTTTGCTCTATTAGCATTGTATGTATATTCCACTTCATAGTGTTTTAATCCTAAGTCCTAAGTAGTTCTTGTGTGATATACAAGTATTCATTCACTATTAACTATGTCTTCTATTTACCTATTTTGAATACTACTTATATGTGATCACATTTAATGCTTTTCATATATTAACACTATTTATATATATATATATCCCTGGCCTCTGTAGGTAGGGGACCCCCAATAACTTAGAAACCTGTGATATGTATACTTTCTTTTTTCTGTGATGATTACTACTGTTGTTGTTTTTATTAATATATGTGATTATCTCCCTTTACTTGTAATATAATATGTTATTGTTATTTTTACATATGTTTGTCACAATAATAGCTCTCAAGAGCTAATGTTACTTGTTTACCTGTATGCGACGTTAAATAAAGTTTCTTGTATCTTGTATCCCTACCGACATGTCGCCCAACCCCCATCCCAGGGTCATACAGGCTCGTGGCTTATGATGCCACGAAAAGCATGCGCCTCATCTGGTCTAGTGGATACGTGGAACTAAGTAATCGAGAAAACAAATCTTCAGTGTTATTAGATTTGAAACCATTCATTAAAAGCATGTTTCATCGGGTTGGTAGATACAAGTTGGAGACAGATTCATGTCGCACAGCCAGTGCCATACTTATGTGTGACGTTTCGATGACTAGTACTACATGTCGTCTGATTAAAACAAGCAGTAAAACATAAGTACACTAAGGTGCGCGTGTCGAATATGTTCGAGGTGGAAATCCAATCGACAAATCGAATTAGCGTGTGTGCATATAGGTGTTAAGGTACAATATCGTCAAACTATTCGTCCAAACTATGTAATATAATACCTCGTCATAAATGTTAAGAGAGTCTAAGGGTCCCCTCCAATCTCGATTGAGAACTGGCTCTCTGCTGCGTATCCAGTCAGATTCACCCCAGTCAGTAACATGGAATGGCTGTACTATGTTCTGTTATTGTTGATTCCTTTCAATCTGGTGACCGTTTATTTCTTTCTTGGAAATTTCGAGTATGTGGCTTCCTTTCCTCTTCGTTGTTAACCAAGTCGGACTCAAATCATCATTATCGCATCCTTCAGTCTTCATCTGTTTTTCTATAAACATTCTGTAGCGTTTTCTTTATGTGTTTCGTCCTTATTTTTTTCATTTCATCATATTTTATTGAGTAAACAATAGGATTGAACAGCAGGCTAGGCCTATATAAGTTCTCTCCTTAGGTTGACATGACAAAGACAAAGATGAATGAAATGGTTTGTAAGAAAATATTGATGCAAATCATATATAATAGGTAGCATAGACATATATATATATATATAGCAGATGGTATAGGGGAGATAATTCCATGTATGTTTCAATTACATATAAATATTTAATTGATATTTTTAGCTATACAATGCTCATATTAAAAAGTCAATCATAATTAATTAGTAATAGGAAAGCAATGCCCTAATGATATATTAAACAGAGAAATTGCTACAATTGTTTTTTTGTTTTTTGTTTTGCAAGTCATTAGTGCCCCCTGTTCATACCCTGCTGCTGTTGCATGAAGTAGTTAGAAGTATAGAACCATTTAGTATCAATATATATATCATTGGTAGGAGTGATAAAAAGTAAGGGATACAACAACATCAAAATATGAAAAAATAAAATGAGGCAATTCAGCTAGAAGATTTTGATAATGTAGTATATGTGTAAGATGTATTGCCAGTGTTCTATGTGTAAATCTTTCATCCCATCGAGTTTCAGACAAAAAGTCTCTAACGGCCTTTACCGTTCACATATCATCCACTCGAGAAGAATCCAGATTAAACCACAGAACACTAAGCATTCAAACTTAGCACATTTATGTTTTACTTTATTGCACCCATCAGTAAAAACAGCTTACAAAGCTTAATCCCTTAGGTGTATAATATTAAAACATCAATGTAAATATAACAATCAGTAGAATCACATAATGGTTTAAGGACAGTAATTTTATCATTTATGACTATATATAACAAAATTTATAGATTGTTTTAATTAGTTAAACAAGTCTTCTTGTGTTGTATATATATTTTAGAACACTATCAAGTATAGATTTATTTTCAGTATTGTTTAACACAGTGCTTCCATTAAGAAGTGTTTTAGTATCAAGATTAACCGGACACACTTCAAAAATCTCATTTATTAAAGTTTGTCTCTCATTAGTATACATTGGACATTGTGAAAGATAATGTGTAGCAGTTTCATAAGCATCACCACACAGACAAGATGGAGACTCTTTCAAGTGATCTTTGAATAGATCATAGTTCAGGTTACTCGCCTCATTTCTCAGTTGACATAGGATTATGTTATCCTTTCTGCTTTCACAATTTTTAAATACATCCGAGATATCATTATTACAACATATTTTATTATACACCTTGGCCTTAAATTTATTAAGAGTAGGGGAATGTACTATATCATTTTCAAGTCCATTGAACTTGTTGCACATTACTGGGAAGAAGCTTTTAGCATAGGATTCTGTACGACATAGTGGTGGGTTAAACATTCTTACATTTCTTAGAGTATACCTATCATTTTCTGGGTTATGAGTAAGAGGATCAATTATGTCATGGAGGTATGTGGGTGATAAATTGTTAGTTATTTTATACATCTGAGTTAGCTTATGGTTCATCCTTCGATCAGACAGGGATTCCCAACCTAGTTCTTTATATAGAGTTTGGTGTGATGTACCTTTCCTTAGACCTGTGATAATCCTTGCAGCTTCTAGTTGTACAGATTCTAATAAATTTTTAAGATTGTCAGAGCAGTTGTCCCAGACAATATCTGCATATTCAAGCACTGGGCGGATAAATGTTGTATATATTTTGCATAGTGATTTCCTATCAATCTTATATTTCAGATACCTAAGTATTGTTATTCTTTTACTAGCCTTTTCATATATTAATTGAACATGGGTAGACCAAGTGCCATCTTCAGAAAAAGTTAATCCAAGATGTTTGTGATCATGGGCATTATCTACACAAGTATTAGAGAAATTAATTAGAGGATGGATAGGTTCTTTTTTTCTAGAAAAAATTAATGATTTGGTTTTAGAGGGGTTAAATTTAATGTCCCATGTACTAGCCCAGTTGTTAATTCTATCTAGGTCTTGGTTAAGATAATCTGCTGCTAGTTGTGGGTTTTCGTCTACGATGACATATAATGATGTATCGTCTGCAAACAGCTTAATGTTACTCTGGACTATATCAGTGATGTCATTAATGTATAATAGAAATAAAAAAGG